TCCTCGAAATAATCCGAAAAGATAGTTTTATTTAAAATGTCAAATATTCGCGTAAATCTAAGAAAGTATAATGTGTGATTTCTTGCATTTACAACGTTTTGAATTGCATTCATGAGTACAATTGCAATAAATGATATTTCACGCCTGAACAGCTTCGCACATTGTGCAAAGTTCAAGTCCGATCATGCATGGAGTATTGCAGTCACCTATAGGATGGCTCTACAAAGTACTAACTTACCGCACTTGACTCGGTGGAACGCAGAGCCAAAAAGCTAAACGGCGACGAAAAGCTCGTGAAAACTAAGGTTCACAGCTTAGCACATCGTCGCCAAGCTGCTTGTCTGTCGGTCTTCAACAGACTATACTTCGGGGAGTGTGCTCACGAGCTCCATGGTCTCATACCGCCATCCTTATTCTACCATCGGAACACCAGACGCACTGCATATACCATCCTTTCTTGGTTGACATTCCGACCACTCACACTCGCTATTCGTCCTCTTTTATAATACGCACAGCCAAGGAGTGGAATGCCCTGCCTGCATTTGTTTTTCCGAGTGTGTATAACCTGAAACTCTTTAAGGTGCGTGCTAACGGCTTCACCTGGGCAAACTCGCTCTACCGTAGACCTTATCTATGCCTTCGAGCTAAGATGAAGATCAAGAGTAAGCCCATTTCCAACAAAGAAATGTTTGGAAGCCTTGTCCATCAAAATTAGAGTGTTTTCTAGCACATTCTCGAAGAGTTATATCAACTTTTGTAACATCGTTATCCGAATTTATTAGATTGCCCGGTTAGAAGTAGGAAAGTATTCATACTGCCCGGTCAAAGTGATATATTCAAGCTATCTCAAACTTGGGTATAAATGGACCACGGGCCATCGGAAATTACTAATATGGGTCGGCTAAAGTAAATAGTTTATCAATTTGATCGATACTTTTGGTCTTTATTCACTATAGTCAGTCCATCCATATTAATACTGCCCGGTTAACCAAGTTGCCCGTAACATAATATGTAAGTATATAACTAGGTGAACTTTTGAAGATGACGACAGATTGAGCTACATTTAGATTTTTCCGTCTTATTATATTATGGGTATAACAAATAGTATTAATATACGCTTTCATATTTTACAAGAATTTCATATTAACTATCATTATAATTACATATTGTCTGCGAAATGTACCAACAAGTCGTTTCTATTTCCTGAGGGGTGTTTATTCACTGGAACATTAAGACTTTAATAAGACGTGTAACATATGTACCTACTTACTTAGTAATAATTATAAAAATGTAAAATTTAATAAACCTTTATTTAACCCACATAAATGTCTGATGCTTAAATTAAGCTTTCAACATATTTCAACAAACAAACAAACAAACAAACATACAAACAAACAAACAAACAAACAAACAAACAAACAAACAAACAAACAAACAAACAAACAAACAAACAAACAAACAAACAAACAAACAAACAAACAAACAAACAAACAAACAAACAAACAAACAAACAAACTAACTAACTAATAGAACTAAATAAATGCACCGAGTATTATGTAGAAAACTAAAAACAAATGCAATACTTTACTTTTGTTTTCTCTTAGTCATAAATATTTTTATCTCATTAAAATTTGTTCATACACCTAAACAATTGTAGATTAAATTTCATTTATTAAATATCTTAGGTAAAAAGATAATATTTTTTTTATAAATGTTCATTTTTGGTATTAATTATTCATGAATCTGCCTGTACCTACGATATAAAAATTCCATAAGTACTTTCTTAATCTATGTTAATTGATAAGCTTTTAGTTTTATCTTGTAATAACTTTATTGCGCTTTAGTAGTTACCTATTACATACCTTAACTGCATAGAGAAGTTAGGAACATCCATACCTGATATCAAATCATAAAAAGCCCGCTTATGTAACTACCTTTGTCTTTATAATAATTATTATTATATGAGTACGTACTTTGACGAAAACAGCTGTTGTAGAGTTCATCGGCCGATGGGCCCACACCCACGCAGTAGCATGAGCGAGAACATGCTAACTTATACTAGTGCGAAAGAGATAAAAAAAGAATAATGGATGAAGGAAGAAACAGAAAAAATCTCCGTTTGGTGTGGAATAATAATGAAAAGGATTTTTTGCGGTATTAGGTTTCTTTAAACTAGCAATAAACCAAGAAACATTATGTTACATAATTTATTACACATAAAAATAATTTGGAAATGCAAATTTTTCTTCTCATAATTCATATCTAATCAAATCATAATAGTAGTACATACCAAGAAATAAGAATTCCTTATTTCTTTATGCTTAAAGTTAAATAAAAAAGGGCATACATACGAGTACATCTAACGTTAAAAAAGGAACATATAGGTATAACTAATAAAATATTAGCCAAGGTAAATTATAGTGATAACATCTTACAGCCAACACACCTACTTTCTATCTACATGAAATAGATATTAAAGTATTACTTACACCAAAAAATATACAATCTTGGTGAGTGAGTAATTTAAAAAAAAAACGACACTTAAAAAAAAGATTTTCTTATACACCTTTCTTATAACAATTTGTCATCTTGTTAATATGTAGTAGTTTCTTATGATTAATGAATAGACAAATGTAATTGTTTGCTTACGTTACTTAATTGGTCGATTAAATACCAAGATTTTACATTTATGGTAGGTATTATATTATATCATGGATCAAAAAAACTGTTCTTTTAAAAAGTATTTAAACCTTCAATGTCAATGTGTTTATATTATGTATTAACAAAAACTTACTATTTTAATTATTAAATGTAGAAGGTAGAAAATCCCTATCATTTATTTACTACTAACAACTAACCCTCACTTCGCTCGGGTGCGTTTAAATTTTTTTGAGCGGAACCCTAATTCTTTTACTAAAATAAGTAGCCTAAGTTATAACATCAGCTATCTGCCAATGAAAGTCCAGTCAAAATCAGTCTAACCGTTTCAGAGATTGGCCGGTACATACAGACAGATAGACAAACAGACATTTTTTAAGAAAATATCCGTATATATATACCGTATATAATTTCAATCTCATCTTTCATTTCAACTTTATCTGTATAGATTAAATTACGGGTGTTTTTTTTCTGTTTCTGACTAAAAAGGAAATAATTTAAATTTAATCATGAAGAACGCAATAAAATTAAAATATATATTTGAATCATGATGTTTTAAAACCATAAAAGTTTTACATAGGTACATATTTTTTTTAAAATATAGAACTATTAATTTATAATGTATTATTCGAAAATAAAATTTGTTCGTATTTACGAAAAAAAAATATTATCAATGAGTTGAATTAAAATAGGTAATCTTATTAGCTAGCATCTAAATTTTTTTTTCCAACCATTCTCTCTACTCCACCGTTGAACATATTTTAGCACATAAGTACAATATTTATTGACACTGTGTAATACGTGTTAGCTATGTTTTTTTTAAAACTATTAACATTTATCTAGGTACCTTGTTTTAAATTAAATTAATGCGCATAATGTACAGAGCATACAATTTGGAGTTTATTGATGTTTTTTAAAAGTTCGCTAATGTGAATATAGATGGCGCAAATTAGATTCTTGAAGTCATTTTACAAGTTGCACAGAGATGGCGCTAACATTGTTTTCAACACTCATGTCAACCCTTTCATGTCATCAACCTTGTAGGCTTGTATAATTACTTTAAGTCATAGGTATCTGGTATTTGCTTTAAAAAAATAATAAGCCATTACAGAGAAAAAAAGCATAATATAAAAAACTAAATATTACTTATACGTAACCATAATCAAAAAGATTATAATAATATCATTAAATAATCAAAATTATGGAAATGAAACCATATTAAAGAAATCATAAAGGAAAACCGTAAATATTGAAAAAATATGATATAATTTAAATTGAATAACCCTTTTAAAACTAATTGTTTCTTGCCCATTTTGCTGTATCAATTATTTTATAAATAAAAGTTCTTAAATTAAAATTAAAAAGAATATTTTGTGTAGGCACTTACATGCTATCTATGTAAAATTGTTATATTTTTTATAATTACCTACTTAAGTCTAAATAATTAGCTAGGTAATATATTGGATATTATAATTTGTGTGCTTTCTGTTCGGTACATACTAGGGATACTTACTACTTTTCCCTTGTTGCATAGGGATTAAAAATAACCTATAAGGGTGTTTTAAAGAAGCCATTGCGCGTCAATGAGGAAGCCGTATGTAAGCAAATATATTTCTCTACAATTAAAAATATAATAAATTCGTTAAATAAAATAAATATTAGAGAACAAATTTAAAAGTATATCAATTATGTTGAAAATAATTGTATGTAATTCTCAGAAGTTGACGTACATAAAATAAAACTTTTAAAGCAGGTTTATTAATGTTATTATGAATAAAAATATCGTAAGCACAATAAAATATAAAACAGTACGGTAGGAGATTATGGCGCGTGTATTTTTTTACATCCGCGTACTCAATTTTTACAAAAAAGAAGACAGAGACAGCAATATAAGTAATAATAATAATGCAGAAACGCTAATTTCGTTCCTCGCGCCCTTTCGCGCCGTTCATGGCAACCGGTTTTGTTTGTGGAACGGTCGTAAACTGAACCGGCCAATGACGGAACAGAACTTGCAGCGGGCGTACCATTGGAGATGCGTGATAGAGAGCGTTGCTTTGTAGAGGGGTGAGGGGGAGGGTGCGAAGCGACAGTGGTAGAGCGCACCGCGCGCATTCTCTACAGTCTTATTTCGCCATTCGTAAAGAAGGTTGTTGTAACGATGAGACGGGAACCGGACTGTCGATAAAGTGTGTTTGTATGTCGTTTTCGTCGATAATAAGTGTTGTGTTCACTTTCACCTGTGCGAATGTCTCGATCCTTACCTTTTTGTTTGTTTTTTCTTTTAATTACTGCCGCATGGGTCGGCGCTTACGTTTAAGTTAACCCTTTATTTTGAAACGATGGAACGTTGTTCTTATGGTTTTTACACCAAAAGGTATTTTATGTTATTTTTTACTTTATGATTGCGAGTCAGTTTGGTTGAGTGCGTCGCGTGTGGCTAGATGGTGGGCTGAGGAATTTATTCGTCATCAATATGAATCGCATTTGTTCAATTATACCAACATTGGTAGCAAATTTCAAATCTACAATAATTGTACGAGTATTATATAAAACAAATAAGGTTACGCTATTTCATAAAAGTGAAATATTTTTTATTAGTTTAATTGTGTTTATTTGGTATAATTGGTGGCTATTCGTCAATTCAAGCTATTATAAAAACCGTTTTGCAAGGGCTTTTGGGGTATATAGTGAGGGGAGTAAGCTCGTATTATTATTATTGAAGCGCTTCGGGGAAAAGCCGACAATACACGGCCCTCGTAACCGAGGGTCGCCTGGTGAGGGGAAGGGGGGTAGTGTCTGTCTGCACACATGCAGAACCGGTTCGCTCTCCAACTCCCCTAGTGCGTTGCATAAATCTCTTTCTTTCACCACACGCGGCTGCATAAAACCTTCTCGCTCGCACATTTTCATTATTTTTTGCTTCCCCTTGTGAAATAATGCCAGACGGACCGTTTTTATTTAGGTATCTGTCCCTAAATAGGTGCATAACTGTATATTTATAATGGAGATGGTAAGTATACGTATGGCAAAAAACATGTGGCATGGGTCTCTTGTTACTAATTGTAGTAAATTATGAAAGCACCCTACTAATATTATAATAAAACAATACAACAAAAGTATGTAAGTGTATGCATGTAAGTCCGTATGCTTGTTATGTTTAATTGTTCTTAAACATGATAAAGCCTACTAAATATAGTTTAACTGAATTTTTAATCAGTTAGTCTTATTATGAAAGTAGATTTAATAATTATTATTATTCAACAATGCTCAAAATCAAGCGTAGGACCGTATTATGTTCTGTGATCGGTAAAATCGTCGTATTGTATAGTCTAGAGCACGTCACTATCAAGAAAATTGAAATCTATGAAGAAGTTATTACATATATGTATTTAATGGATGGTAACTTCGATGTTTTTTTTTTTCAAATAATATAAAATATATAAATGAAAAAATATATATTTAATATCTCATAAAATTTAACTTTTTGTTAAGAATTACGATTTTAAGTGTGTCTCATGCTTAAAAACAGCTTTGATGTTATGTTGACGTTGACAATTAAGCGAATGACAGTTTTATAATTGATGCGGTTCGATTTTTTGTGCTATTTTATTTTTTTATTACCTATTTACGTATTATTTTACTGATTATTTTTATGTAATACAACGAAACACTTATATATTAGCTATGTATTGAATCGTTTAGACTTATATGTTATTTGTGTATTTTTCATTGTGTTACTACCAAAAGTGCTTAAATTGACTGGACCAAATTAGATTTTAGAACGATAACTCGATGATATTTAATAGAAATTTTAGGTAAACGATTAAAATAGCCATAATTATAATTTTATGTAGCACTATTTCCTGAGTAATGGCTGAAATATCCAGGTACATTACCAACAAGTGGTTATGAAACGATAGAAGTTAGTTAAAAATATTGAGTATTCATGTTTATATTTTTTTTATTTGGCACTTACTGGAAATTTTTATTATTTTATTTCAGGTCAGAAATTTTAGATAATATACAAAAAAAGAAAGAACAAGATAAAGATCAACCACAAAGTCCTAGCTTTCAGCAGCAATTGGTTAAACCAGTTGATAAACAACATAATACAGATCATCAAAATGCTAATGTATCCGTGACACAGCATGTTCCAACACAGCTTCTTTCGCCAACACATGGCTCTAGTTCACCAGTCCAATCGAAAGAGGACACAAAAGACAAAACTATAAAAGTTGCTAATTCCACAACTATAACATTGATAGAAAACAGTAACATCAACGGAGAGAAAGATAAAGACAACAATTATCCCAAAAATTATTTTACCTTGGAACCTAAAAATGATAAGAAAGATGATTGTAATAAAAACAGTATCACTATAACTAGAACTATACCAAAACAGTCTCCAGGAGGTCAAGCTGATAAATCTAAGGCACAATCAAAGCCTACTAAGAGACCTCTTCAATATTTAGAAACCCTTGCAGAAAAAGCGGGGATTACATTTGAGGACAAATACGAAGCTGCCAATACACTTCTTGCATTGGACAAACAAAATAATACTTTTCGCAGATCTGACCTTAAACAACCTAAGTCAGAACCTGAAAATCAATCACAAAGTGAAGAATTTAGATACAGAAATCAAAAAGAAGAGGATGATAAATTACAAGTAAGGCTTTTATAACTAAAATAATATTTAGGATATTAAATTGAAAAAAATAGGCACTTGAAATATTTTAAGATTTTTTTTTTCAAATATGATAATGTAATGTATAAAAAATATTTCATTAAATATAATATTAAAACATTTTCTCCACCCTATCACTTCATATTGTACTTCTGCTTGGAATATAAAAACTTCTTTCTTATATTTATTTGGTGAAAAATAATTATAAGAAAATAATTAAGATATTTTTCATCTTACAAAATGTTTTAAACATTCTTAATTCAATTATAAAACTATTTAATTATTTTTCTGATTGCTTGTCACAAATGAAATACATTACTAATTTGTATTTATGTACAATATATTTTAAAAATTTAATTTTGTGTTTAATTTTTTTAATTCAACTTTATAAATCAATCTACACAGATACAACAGCAGATAATACAACAGCAACAACAACAGCAATTCCAACACTTGCAACAACAGCAGCAGCAACAGCAACAGTTACAACAATTACAGCAGCAGCAACAGCAGCTGCAACAAATACAACAACAAGCTTTACAACGTCAGCATCAGGCTATACAGCAACACTTTAAAAATCAACAGGATCAACAAGAATTGGTAAGTTGTATAATTGAACATTTTGCTTTCAACAGTGATCCAATACATTTAGAATATCTACTAGGAGATCATTTTTAGATTAAACTTATTATAGTTCAATCTCATGCAATTGTCTGTAAAGGTGGTAAATCCAGATATGTACAGAACATAATGAAAAATGGCATGCTCAAACATATAATAGGAACACTCACCAATTAATTTCATCTCCATCTAAGTTTTTTATTTGTATCTTCGCAAGGGGATGGGAACAGAAAACATAGTGTTGAGGTGTTAAGGTTTATTGAACACATAATGTTATATTATAAAGGAAAATGATATTTCTATTCATGAAATTAAGCACTTTGATAGTCTACACCACTTATTTGTAGATTTTTCTACTATCAGACCTGATATTTATATCAGTTTTGAAAGTAATTCAAGAAAAATAAAAAAAGGAGATTTTAAAGCAAAAATCAGCCTCAGGTCAATAATAGATATTAATTCATAATGCTAATATAGTTACAGAAGCAATTCCAACAACAGCATCAACAGCAACAGTCGCAACAGCAACAGCAATCTCAGCCGCAACAACAGCAGCAACAGCCTAAGACTGAGATCCAACAAATTTCACAGCAGCAAGAATTGCAACAGCAGAAGTTTTTGCAGGTTAAAAAAAACATTAGTTATTTATATATTTGACTACATATTATATTTTTATATCTATATATAAATATTTAGTAAATAAATATGGAATTCTGCCTTTGAGAGATAATACTCATCAACAACTCATTGTTGTGGAGGATGATGTTATATTAAGGCAATAAAATCCAAGAAATATAATTGTTAAAGATGTTTAAAACCAGTTACACAATGCAATTTGTATTATAGAGATTTGATCATATATACAACTAGCGACTTACCCTCGCTTCGCTCGGGTGCTTCTCTAGTTCTGTTTTAATTTTTTTGAGTGGAACCCTAATTCTTTTACTAAAATAAGAGTAGCGTAAGTTACTCCTTATAACATCAGCTATCTGCCAGTGAAAGTTCCGTCAAAGTCGATCCAGCCCTTTTGGAGATTAGCGGGAACAAACGGATAGACAAACATTTTAAAAAATGTACTTTTCTTATAAATACCATATATAATTATATATTCATTTAATAAAAAGATGTTATTTTGACATTACAAACAAACACTTCAATTTTATTTATCTGTGTAAATGAAGACCAATTGAAGCACTCTATTATATTAAGTAAATCATCTGTCACATCCAAATAGCATAGCATATATGTTATCATAATATGTATTATATTTTTTTTGTATTATTGCTATAATTAATATTTATGTCTGATCATCACATTAATATAGCATTTCAGTTGTCAAAAATAAATGTGTACTAAAGTGGAAAATTATTGTAATTGATCATCCTTGTTTTGTTATTAAACCAAAAATTATTCAAACAGGTTGTAAACAATCAACCGGTGCACACACAGCAGTTCAACGTTCCTGGTATTGGGGAAATCAACCTTAGTTTCCTTGCATCTCCTCAAAATAACGTCAACCTACTATTTGACAAGAATCAGAAGACCGGCATGAGTGGAGAGATCAAACAACAGCAAGTATGTATAAAATAAATTTATTATAACTTCTGTTTTATTTAATTGTTAAATTCTTACTTTTTATTAACAAATGAATAACCCAAATATAGTGTTTTATTTTAACATTGATTACCTTTTAACTAGAACTTTATCTGTGTGTATATATGAGAGGAGAGATCAAAATAAATTTATTGTAAATTCTGTTTTAAAAATTGAAATTATATTGTCTGGAATCTCATTTCTAAATTTATATACTTTATTTGTCTTAACATTAATCTGTGTATATGTACAGATAGTTGATGGTCAATCGCAAGTGGTCCAGCAACAGATCAGCATGTCTCAGCATGAACCATCACAACAACACCACCAGACTGTCACCGTAGTGTCCTCCATGCCGAGCAGTATGGCGCAACATCAAGTAAATATAGTCATTTATAAGTGAACAGTTCTTCTCCTGCTCACGTTTTTAATACGATGATAAAAATAAACTTTTAAAGAAGCTTTTAAAAAAGCTTTTTTCATTACGTGTTTCATTAGAATTGTTTGAACTAATACAGCAGTGAACGATGATATGTATATTCACACCGTTTTACCTTTTAGAAATCTAATAATCTACCAAGAAAAATAAATAATTATAAATTAAACAATATATAACTAAATTATTACAAATCATTTCTTATATAAAAATATATTGTATTATATAAGTATATGAATAACGGAACTATTATTAATACATAATTTATTGTCAAATTCACATAATGAGGCGTTCTAAGCGCGTCCCAACTCCCAGGTGCAATGCAAAATTCTAACTCCATATTACTATAGCACCATAAGACGAAAAATTCTTGCTTTTCCTTTTCATACAAAATTAGTTTTATACCTAGTTTTGTCCTTTTAACTACAATGAAAAATCAGACAGTAGAAGATTTGTTTTGTATGATTGAAATTAATATTTAATATGGATATAAAAATATTTTGTTTTCCATGTTTTTAGTAAGTATCTCATTCCATTTTAGTTTGGAATGGCTTATTATGTTTAGGTTATTTTACATACAGATGTTAATAATTTAATTTGACGATATAAGAGCTACATAGGTTATTATTACATAGTTACGGACACATTCATAATTGACGTATTGCTATAATATACCTATAATAATTGTCCACGGTACTTATCGTTCGTTTTATTTTATGTAGTGTACATATTTTATTAACTTTCAATTAGCCAAACTGCTACATCGACTTACTCATGAGACCTGACAATGTAGGATAATGATTAAGACCTCTAAGAACAGAAGAAACATCTTTACTTCGAGATGGAACCTCCGGTGGTCATGCAGATGTAAAAAGAACGCTATACAAGACCAAGGAGCGATTTTAGTGGTCACACTGCCGAGGATATGTGTCGAAATTGCGTGCAGTGTGCATCCGTCAAGGGCCCCCAAACCAGAAACTGAAGGGTAATGAAATTATACAACGTTGGGGCGCCATAGGAGAGAATCAGGACCATTTCCGATTAGTAACTCTGGAAACATCGCATTCTAGTTGTAATTCACTATTCGAATCAAAGGTGTTTCAAGAAGTATATAAAATCACGGGGTGTACAAAACTCGAACTATGCCATGTCATTCAGAATCTCATAGAATGGTGGGAAAGTTTAATCAGGCTAGAGCGGCATCTAGTTAAGGTTGTGGATAATCACCAAAAGGATTGGGACGACGTCGTACAGCTGTATTGCAATTACACCTGCTTTTACCAATTTTGGGAGGGAACTGCGTTTACTGGCAGAAGTCGCCACTTAAGTGAAGTGGTAGCCGCCGGATACACCCAGTTACATCACCGAATATGCTAGCGATCTATAAACGAAAATTATTGATGTTCATGAGTAGACACGAGATGCAGGAAGGACTCTAGAAAAGTAAACGTATGAAAACGCGTTACGACTGGAAGTCGACAGAGGCAAGCTTTGAGTGTGTATCGTTGGTATGGCGGCATAAGCTAGTGAGATGAATGGGAAAATGGCTAAACATTGCAGTCCAGTTGGGAGTGACCTTATGAGGTTATAACTAAAATCAATAATGTCACTTTCCTGATATGACGTACGTCGTGAAGCCCGGCCGAGATTGTTCATGTGGATCCGATCGACTGGCTAAGTATCACAACAACGATGCTCGAGACGAGCACGTCATGGCAGGGCAGGGCAGTGTCGCGTAGTGCAGAGTATGTAACGTCATTTCACGGATAATAATAATTAAAAATGTCTGAAGCATGCTTTATACATCCTAAGACAGTTGTTAATACATGACAATTAACGTACAAGAACAGTTAACCGTAAATTGCCGTGTGTAAGAGAGGAACAAACCTTTTTCCAAATGAATTTGAAATTACTATAAAAGATTCGAATTTTTTAACACTAGAATGTTCTTTGTTTGTGCATATAATGAAAAGGCCGGCAGTGTGTCGAGAGATCAGTTAGATTTTGAAGCTAAGACAAGACAGAAGAAATACGAAAAAGTGATGTCGTCATAGTGTTAGGGTAACTATTGGTAGAAAATAATGCTCAGAGACTACGTTTAGTTAATTTTGTGCATAACTGTGTGTGTTGGTGAATCGCCACTTATGGCGCCCAAAATAAATAAAACAGTAGTACAAAATACGTCCTATTTTGTATTATTATTTTTGGTGTAATGACGTTACACTTTTCCACTGTACAATATTTTATGAGGTTTTCTTACTATCTTACTAATATTATAATTATGAACGTTTAAATGGATGTTTGGATGTTTGTTATACTCAATCACGCCAGAACGGCTGAACGGATCTGGATGAAATTTAGCACAGAGATAGATTGTAGTCTGGAATAGCACGTACGCTACTTTTTGTCCCGGATAAATGTACAGTTCCCGTAGTATGGATTTGTTTCTGTTTTTTCTAGAGGCGACCCAAGCGAAGCGAGGGTGAGCCGCTAGTATTTCATAATTGTAAAATGTCTTTTGCTTTAGTATTATACATACATTTATAAAAAAACAAAATACATAATGTAATTAAACAAAAAAAATCTCAAATAAGAGTCGTCCAATTTCTTTACAATTTAAATTTAAAAAATTTTTTGTCTGTTTTTTAGACAGTTTGGGTTCCGTCAAAATTTTACTCCTCGTTACTGAGGTACAACAAATATAAACAAATTTTGCCTTTAATCTTAGTATGACTTTTGTAAACAAAAAGCAGGAAAAAGCAAAGACCGGAAATATATCACGAAACAATGTTTTGAATTTATATTTACAAATATTATATTTTATGTCCACTGCTGTTTGATCTTAGGCAGGAGCAGAATGATAAATTTCGTCAGTTAAAAAGTAACTTGGAAGAGATTAAAAAACAAAACACGGAACTGCGCGCTGATGTACAGTTTATTAGCGATAAATATGATGAGTTACTCGAAAAGATCAAGCAAATGGAGTTGGAAAGGAAAAGTCGTAACGAATACGTGAAATTGTTGGAATGCAGAATTGAAAACATGGAAAAATCTTTAAAGTCAACCAGCATTGAAGTCAGGAACCTGCCAAAAAAACATACCGAAACAAAGGAAGACCTTGTGACCACTATAAAAAATATTGGCATAGCTATGAAAACCGAAATTGAGACCAATGACTTAAGAGATGTATTTCGCTTAAATAGTAAGAACCCGGAGACAAGAGCGCCTGTGATAGTAGAGTTTAGTAGTACACTGAAAAAGGACAAGTTAATTAAAAGCATAAAAGATTTTAATAAACAAAACAAAGCGAACAAGCTCAATGCATCCCATATTCAACTGGAAGGCTACTCACCTATCTACATCTCTGAATGTCTGACAGCTAAAAATAAGAAATTATACTACCAAGCTCGCGAATTTTCAAAAGCTAACGGCTACTCGTACTGCTGGGCTTCACATGGGAAGATATATCTACGTCGAAAGGAAGGTGAAAAGGCAACTAGAATAGAAGAGGAGTCCGACTTAGATAAATTAAACCAAAAAAAATGACTAGTGCCTACATATTTTTTAACTACAACTCACTGTTATGATTTTTGCTCAATTAATTTTTACTTTAGTGCTAAGATAACTAATAATTTAATACGTAACTGTTTAATATACTTACCTATACCATTGAAAACATGTTTTCGGAATTGTATTCCACTGTTGTATAACTTAACTACACTTAAACACAATTTACACTACTACATATCTACCTCTATACATAACACCACTATAATAATTATTAAATCTAAACTACGTTATAAAAAACAATTTTATGTAAATTACCTTCAGCGTATTAGTAGTCTACTCTTAAACCATCGAATTACACCAAAAATAAATTTTACAAATATATTAAATATATTAATTATAGTACCAACTCAAAATCTTACATTTTTAATTGCGGCTATATTGCATAAATTTCTACATCGTACTAAAAATAATATGTTACTTAATATCTTAAATTCTGTACATATAATAGCTAACGCTATTTACAAGGCTTTGAAACAGTGCCCTTATCTCACGTTCAAAATTCGATAAAGTAAATAATTTTATTTCGCATGAAATTGACGAGACTGAGAGTGTTGAGTGTATTTCTTTGAGTGATTCTGAGCAATGCCCACACATACTTAAAACAGATTGCATCAACAAGAACTCATTATCCATAATTACTGTTAACATAAGAAGCATAAAACGTAATTTAGATCTCTTCCTGGCCTTTTTAACAGCGATAAATATACAAGTAGACATAATTGTGCTAACTGAGTGCTGGACTAATGTAAACAATCCTCCGCCCTCTATAAATGACTATAACATGTTTTGGACCAAGAAATCACTCAACCAAAATGATGGTGTGGTGGCATATGTTCGCAAAGAACTCAGCATTTCCTCATGTGAACCAGAGTTTACAGAAGGCAACTGCCTTACAGTCACAATTAGCACTAAATACACGTTAGTCTGTTCATACCGTCCTCCGAGTTTCAGAAAAACCAACGCGTATCTCAATTCACTGGAACAAGTTATACGCAACATAAAAACACAAAATATAATTCTAACTGGTGATATTAACATAGACACCCTTAATGATAATTCTAGTGGTCCAACTCAAGATTATCTTAATCTGTTGGCAATGTATGGGTTAAGACAAGGAATCAATCTGCCCACCAGAAATAATACTTGTTTAGACCATTTTATGGTGAAGTGTTCTAATGCTTGGAAAACAGTTGTCTTTGAACAGCAGATCACTGATCACTCACCTATACTATTATACATAAGCAACGCAAGAGTAAATAAAAATGACATGACATATTAAAAATTAAAGATAGACCATGAAGCTATTAAAAACAGCCTAAATAATGAATGCTGGAAGAATCTTTATAGAACCGCTGACATAAATATCGCATGTGAGATTCTCATAGATAAACTTTTATTACTTATCGAAGATAACACATCATCAAGAACAGTCTCAAAACGAAATCGTCCACTCAAGCCATGGATAACATACGGTGTAGTTAAATGTATAAAAAAACGTGATAGACTTCATAGAAGAGTTAAAAAGTTTCCTAATGACACTGACCTGAAACAAAAATATACCACATATAGAAATTCGTGTAACCACCTAATAAAAAGTCTTAAAGCTAAATATTATGAAGAAAGGTTGATCAACGATGCTGGTAATATTAAAAAACAGTGGCAAACAATAAAGGAAGTATGCAACATTAGCCAGAATAAGGTATCTTCCGAGGAGCTTCTTAATATTAACGATTCCCCCTCCGAGTCCGTTACAACGGTTAATTCATACTTTACTTCAATAGGAGGTACTCTTGCCAAGGGTATTCTCAATCGATTGAACAGTAAAGAAAATGAATTGGCACGACTAGCTAGAACATCATCTGGGCCATTGAATTCAATGTCTTTTATCCCAACAGATCCACACGAGGTCAGAAACATTGTTTTGGGACTCAGATCGCACAGTGCCCCTGGATGGGACAATATCACCACAAACATACTTAAACAAAACATCTTGTCACTTGCTAATCCAATAACATATTTGTGCAATCTGAGTCTGGAGACAGGTATTTTCCCTGATAAATTTAAAAGAGCTGTTGTATGCCCAATCTATAAGTCTGGTGAAAAAAATAATCCTACCAACTATAGACCCATATCTATCCTGTCTACTCTATCAAAAATTCTAGAAAAAATAGTTAACAAAAGACTTACCAGTTACCTAGAAAAAAATGGACTCCTTAATCATAACCAATTTGGCTTTAGGGTAGGAAAATCGACAGAAGACGCAGTTCTGGCACTTACAACGACATTGATGAAACAGCTTGATAAAGGTGATAAATGCCTGGGAGTTTTCCTAGATCTACAGAAGGCTTTTGATACGGTGTCCGTGCCCATATTGGTCAGCAGATTGGAGAATGTTGGAATAAGAGGAGTTGCCCTGGACTGGTTTAAGGACTATTTATCTGGTAGAACACAATGTGTACGCATTGGTAAATATGTTAGTGACAATGCCACATGCAGTTACGGAGTTCCACAAGGCAGTACACTTGGACCTACTCTTTTTCTCATTTATATCAACGAATTATGCAATACTATCTTGCCAGGACTTGATATAACCATGTATGCAGATGATACAGTGCTAGTGTTCCATGGTAGTACTTGGGAAGGGGTCTTCCTACTAGCAGAACTTGGCCTAGCTAAAGTGACAGCGTGGCTTGAAAATAGTCTTCTTTCCATTAACGTCAACAAAACTAAGTACGTTTGCTTTAGTAAATCAGTCTCAGGTAATCCCGGAGATAGTTTAGAACTTAAAATACACGGTTTTCCGTGTAACCGTGCGATGAACTACAGCACTTGCAACTGTGCAACTCTATCTCGCGTTACCCACATCAAATATCTTGGAGTTATATTGGATGAAAGGCTTTCTTGGAATATTCACATAGCATCGCTGGCGACCAGGATCAGGAAAACAATTTACATATTTAAAAATTTACGTACAGTGGCCAATAAACAGCTATTAATCCTAACCTACAGGGCGCTTGTTGAGTGTATTATTAGATATTGCATAAGTGCCTGGGGTTGTGCAGGCAAAACGCACCTTATCGTGGCCGAACTGGCTCAGCGAGCTGTACTGAAGGTGTTATTGTACTTGCCCTTTAGGCATCCTACCACCTCCTTATATGAGAAAACTGGTGTACTATCTATACGACAAATGTTTATTTATGAAACAATCCGGAGATATCATAAAAAAATAGTGCCTACTTTACAAGTTGACTCTAAAAGGGTAGATCGTTGTCCGATTCCACAAGTTAAAACCTCCTTTGCTAAAAAGCATTTCAATGTTGTGGCTCCACGTATTTATAATATTTTTAATAATAAATATAAAGTTAAGAAGCATCCTAACAATAAACTGAAAAAATTTTTAATTACCTGGCTGAAAAGTTTAGATTATGATGCGACAGAAGAAATTATAAAAAATGCTATATAGTATCTACAAACACACACTCACTTATACACACGCATACACACACACACACACACACACACACACACACACACACACAAACACACACACACACAAACACACACACATACTTTTTTTTTCATTTTGTAATTATTTTTTTGTGTGCTAATTTTTTTTTTCTTAATGTTACTCTTGTTGTCTGTACATATATCACTGTGTTGGCATAAACCTGTCATTAATCATATGGGGATGACACTGGCTCCTGCAATACAGTTTTTAACGAGCGCAGGGGCTAGGGAATTCTTAATCACCTGTGTATGTAAAATTATGTCAATAAAGAATTTATTTATTTATTTATTTATTTACTGCAAACAAATACTATGTATATGGCTCTATCTAATCTAATATATTTAAAAGAGCAATTCTTGTATATTTATTTATTTATTTAGGTATACCGGCGATCTCGGAAATGGCTCTAACGGTTTCGCTGAAATTTGGCATGTGGGTGTTTTTGTGTTTTCGAGGGCGAAAAATCGATCTAGATTAGTCTTATGTCGGCGAAAACGTGTGCTTTCGAGTTTTCATGCGGTTTTCTTTCGCATTATTCTACGCAAAATATGATCGCTAATTTGCACGTTCGGGCATAAGCGTCGTGGTCAAGCGGCCAAGGCGCAAGATTGACATTCACAGGTGTCCGGGCTTGAATCCCGCTCGGATACAAAGTTTTCACAGTTTTTTTATACTTATTCTAGTAATTTTTTTTTAAATTGTATCTGTGGCCAAAATCTCCGAGCGAAGCTCGGTCGCCCGGGTACTATAATATTGTTTAAACACTAATATTTGTCAAGAATCCTTTTCTTAGATAGGATATACTTCTGGCAGATGTTTACTAAATCATAAATATAAATAAATCTTTCTCATATTACATGTTATATCTTCAGAAGAAATTATTTCATAACACAAACATACTTTGGAAATATTTTCCTATAATAATTACTACCTTACTTTAAACGAAAATAGTGGTGACAGGTTTAGTTAATTTTTATCACATCTATATTAATATTATAAAGAGAGTTTTTTTGTTTGTTTGTTTAAACGCGCTAATCTCAGGAACTACAAATCCGATTTAAAAAAGTTGTTTTTGCATTAAATTGCCCATTTATTGAGGAAGGCTATATATCATTATATAATATCATATAGTCTATCTATTCCATACTTAACTTGAAAATGTACCTAGGAACAAACCCGAGTGAAGCGAGGGGGAGTCGCTATTTAACAGATAGTTAATGTTTTTGGTAATTGTGACACTATTGTAAGGGATTATAAAAGTTTTCAATATATGATTACATATGCAAATAAAAAATAAAGCTACGTGTTTGATATTGTTTTATTACACTCATTGCTTAGATAAAATAAAGCTATATAAGACATACTTATCATCCATTATAAAATAATTATTTAATAAAATTTACCCACAATTTTAAAAAGAATATGTGTAGGATGTGGTCTTAAAGTAAATCGTGTCATGTCATCCCTTTATAATTCAAAATCTCTCGAGACATGGAGTGGATAAACATTTACGTTCTGAATATAGCTACCGGAACGTAAACATGCTAATGCTATGCTTAGGTTTCTTGAACATACGTCGTCCAATAAATGTTCCATCTTTTATTCTAACGTTGAGAAATGCATTTATGTATATCACCTGCATACATACAGGTGGTTATGACTCACCGGTTAGAAAAGGTAGTATACTCACTAAACTCAACGGAACCTCCCCCGTTACAATGGGACGTCGCAGAACTGGTGTGATCGAGTAACAAACATCTTTTCTTTCTTTTCGCAACTTTCGCATTTATAAGATTTACTCATAGAACGATCTATAATGTCCCCAAAACATATTATACAAAAGTAGCATAACTATTTTTATATATTACAATAGTACCTAAAAAATTGTACATAGACATAATATTAAAGCACAATATAGTACCTACTGTTATAACGTGATGAAATTTTTTTTGTGATGGTACCAGCTAGCTTATGTCGCCATTTCTAATCCCTATATTTATTTGCACGAGTATTATACGTTTACGTACATATAAGTCGTAGATGGTAATGGTGTTAATATTTCAGGTACAGCAGCAAGCGACAGGTGGCATACAACAGCAAGCCACTATGCCGCCTCTGCAAAGCCTTCCACCCAATACACAGCATCCACAACAGATAAGGTATAGTATATATAGTGCTGTTTGGTAAGGTCCGACTGAAACCTTGTATTTTTGTCTCGGCCTAGACTAAGACCAAGACCGACAACAAAATAAATTTTCGGCCGCGACCCAGACTAAAACATGACGTAGTAACATTTAGTATGTTAAAAGGATCTGAAAATAATACAAAAAAAGTGTGATTTTCAAGCATTTTTTTAATATTCTGAGTTACGATCAAATATATTTAAAACACTTCAAAAATAAATGAAATCGAAAAGTATTCATTTCCCTGAGCAGCCGGCGTTTGTTGACGTTAAGCCAATCAGCAATCCTCAACAACAAGCCTCGTAGCTTACCGTGGAACTAATAGTGCTGTGTTAATGTCCCAACATATTTATTTATTATTTATATACAGTTACTAATCGTATGCAAAAACGCGAGTAGGTATCGTGCATTTAATTCTACCTCGCGTCGATAGATAGAGCGATAAGGTCTAAATCTAAATACAACTACACAACCACGACCACAAGAAGTCTGGGCCATGGCCGATATTCTCGCCGAGAACGAGACTGAGAACTTGGCCTGATTTAACCGAAAATGACTGAAACCGACACCGAAACCGAATCTGTTATATATGTTTGAAACTAATTTAGGATAAGAAATCTATACTAATATTACAAAGAGCTATCTATGTGAGTTTGTGAGGTGAACCGATTTTAATGAAATTTGGTAAGAAGATAGTTTGAGACCCTGGTAATGACGTAGGATACTTTTTATCTAAAATGGGGATAAAATTATGTATTGGGAAGCAAGCTAGGGACGAACCCGAGTGAAGCGAGGCTGAATCGCTAGTAAATTAAAGTAATAAAACTAAAAAATGCCTAACTGAGATGTAAAAAGATGAGTACAAGTTGTTGAAGAAACATTGCAGTCGGAGACATACATATGTATGGTACATGTTTTATGCTAGCTGCGAGTTTTGATGCGTGTTTTGTATGTCTCCGAAGCGACTGTATAATACTATGTCTCTTTATTTTTTTATTTTTTTATGATAGTAAGGTGTAATATTCAGATATATATATATATATATATATATATATATATATATATATATATATATGTAGATGCTAATACAAGAGAAAATTAAAACACTAATCAATTTAACGTATAAAAATATTTGTCTAATTTGTGCAATGAGCACATAATAAAATATAGTATAATAAAATCTCGTAAATGTTACCATAAATGTAACGCATGCTTCCGAATTATGTTCTACAAAACTGTTGAGATCAAAAGACCATAAACCTAGGTACAGGACTCAAAACAGTTATTTTTATAAAAATGCACTTTCAAATTCTATGACAATAATAAGTTGTCATCGATGCTTTAAACTTACACTAAAACTGTTGTATTCAAGGAGTTAGATTTTAAAGAATTTTTCGACATAGCGACCGGTACTATAGTGAGTTTCTGACAACAAAAGGCTTAGTGCGATCGAACAAGATAAATAAGTAAGCACTTGGCTCAGGAAACTAACAACTGTTAGAATGAAGTTGCAGTTTGTCTTAGTATGGCTCAGCCTTAGCTGGTCGTTTATAAAATATTCAAAGCTGGCCAGTATCGTTTGAGTCTAATTATAAGTTAGTATAGAAATAGAGTTTCACTTGTAAATCAATAGCAGTTAGTTTTAAAGCAGTCTTGCTGTATACTTCCCTGCACATCATCGGTTCTTTGTTTATTAGTGAGGCCAATATAAAATTTGATGTCAACAATTACTTTGTAGTGTCTCAGGCATAAATTAACAATCATTTCGACCAAAATGTATCTTAAATATTATATGGCAATAAAAAAGACTGTTGGAGAACAGGCTGTAGAAAGGTTTTATGAACCAAGTTTTATGTTGACAGTTTTTATTTCAAAGATATAGAGTATTGATAATGTTTTATCTTAAATATTAATAATTAAGCTTTCTCTCAATTGATATTATTATAGTGCGGAATGGGGCCACAGTCGTGTACAAGTGATTCAGCAACCATTGCAGAACAGCACCTATTTACAGCAACTGTACAATGCCCAGGGGCCATTGCTTATGCCTGGCAACATTGCTCTTCATCCCGGGATCAACTCTCAACAAATACAGGTAATGGATTACGGTATATTATTTGAAATACGCTCTCAAAAGGCTGTCATATGTGTCTATAAATAACTTAGTTACCATATTAATATATAATTAGTATACTAATAACAATGTTTAAGTTAAATGTTGTGTATATTTGGACATAAGACGTCTATATTATAATAAAATAAATCATCTACAGACTTTTGCTATGAAAAGTGCTTTACACACTCTCATGGTGGCCTCTTACATACTGCAGTCATATAGAAAGAGATAAAGCACTTAGCGAAGCATAATTCGAGAATAATACTTTGTATTTGCGGTCTGTATTTAATGATATGTGTTTAAAATAATATATAATTTTGTTTCAGGTGATAGCAGCCGGGAAACCGTTCCAGGGCAACCAACTGGCACCGCACATGCTCACCACACAAGGAAAACAAGTTCTACAAGGCCAAGCCGGTAAGTGAAAGTTACATCACTATGTTAGATCTGGTTCCTTCATACATATGTTTAATTACTTTCCACGCGGTTCAACTAACGCTGGTATACTTTTTAGTCTCTATTGAATTATGTTTTTTAGCGTAAGCTTGGTATTTTCCACTCACTTATTTATACCTTTTACAAAATATGTATTGATCTTTCTTGTTGGTATTCTCGCACTCATCAATAAATAGATCGTGGAAATAAAAAAATATTGATCCTTTATAACTATATTTATTTATTATTATTAATCTACTTTGTATATCTAAATAACTTTCGAATACATCTATACATATAGTAAAACTCTAACTGAGCCAAACCTGTACACTAAATATTTTTTTTAAAAACTTTTTGAAATAGTCATTATTATGGATACAGACGCCGAATCTATAGTTTTTAGAATTTTTGTCTGTCTGTTACCGCATTACGAGAAAACTACTGGACTGGAAACTACTTTTTAACATATGCTTAAATTCGTAACGAATATTCTAGTTATATCTTGACAAAATAAATCAAAACATAATTCTCATTAAAAATATTTAGATACTAGCGACTCACCCTTGAATCGCTCGGGTTCTTCCCTACGTGATTCTTTAAATTGACATAACTTTTTTATTTATAAACCGAATGAAATAAAACATACACTAAATAAGCACGCACAAACGCACAGACAAACAGATAAAAATTTAAAAAGTCTTTGATTTGTGCTCTATCGCGTTAATAAAGACTTCCAATAATAGTTTTTCTCCAATATCTTCCATGTACGGATAGCGATCAGTTACACTTTTATTATATGTATAAATATAGATAATATTTGCTACATACTTTATATATTTTTTTTTGCTTAATTACATCACATTATTTAAATAGAAAACATTATATATAACTGATTGTGTGTGCACTGCATATAGAAAGCAAAAGAACGACAACACTATTTAGTTTTATAGTTAATTTTACAGGTCTCACTGCCTACCAGGAACAAGGTTTATAAAATGTTTCAAATGACTTTATTACTTTCGAGTCTCGTGATACGTTTATCGTGAATGTCAATGTCTTGTTTTACTAGGGAATAAAATTTTCTTTCTTAATTTTTTAATTGGCAATTGAAACCGGATTTGGTTGAGCTTTTTTGCGATCAAATATTATATATTATTGTTAACTTAGAGAAATCTGTAGGCTAGAAACAGCTTTTAAGCAGTAGTGGGTCTATTATACGTGCGTTTTTATTTCGGCTTTTCACGCAGTTTTTTAAAAATCATTTACATTTATCATTGTTTCCATTAGTAAACATATATTATTACTAACATCAGATCTTATTTGACGTATATAAATTATTCTATTATATTAACGAATGCATTTTATAATTCTTTCCAAATAAGATATATAAAATTTTAAAACTCTTTAATCAAGTTATTGTAAATAAAAAAATATATAAGCAACGCATGTCGAAACATTTATATAATAAAAATGTACAAGGACATTCTAATTAAAAATTGTCCGACGTAACACACTCATAATCAACTTTTTATTAGACAATCGTTCTGTTAGTGATTGTGAAAGTGTTAGTTTGTTTCGAGTATTGTTATGTTTTATATTTTTGGGATTTAAATATTTTTTTAATGTATTTATAGCACCGTTCCCTGGATACACTACGATACCAACTATCCCTACAACACAAAACCAGACGTTCGTATTTAGTCCCCTGGGAGTGATAAATTCTCAGCCGAGCATACTTCCGGCGCACTCTCAACCGACTGTATCCGGCATTGGGCAGCAGAAATCGGCGGAAATGCATAAGGTTCGGATCATATATATATAATAAAGATATAATTTTTTACACGTATAAATAGTAACTATATTAATTACAAAACATCAATTAGAGTTGGCAATCTTTTGAGTTGTATTCAATCATTTTTAACGTCCCGCTGCTGGGCACGGGCATCTCTTCAATGCGCGATGGGTACAGGCCTTAGTCCAAGCTAGCTAAGTGCGGGTATTACAATATAGTTATATTTTACTTATTTTCACTTATTCGACAAGAAAAAAAAGCTTGAAATCATAGTTGGTAAAATTTTTGTAATTAATCCAAAAGTCTATCTAGTTTAAGTCTTGAAGTAAAACCATAATAATACTCTTGTACGCGATAAGGATTTCGTCCGCTATTCATTATAAAACCTAACCTAACAGAAATATATCTGAGAAAACTCACCGGGTCCGACTCGCACTTGACCAATAATTTCACTATCGTATATAATATTAATATATGACGACACGTTTGGCTCAGTTTGTAGTGACCTTACTTGCTGTGCCAGCGGTCGCGGGTTCGAGTCCCGTTGGGGGCATTCATTTGGATGATGAGCACGAATGTTTGTACTCCAGTCATGGGTGTTATTTATAATATGTATTTAAAGTTATATATGTATAGTTTATCAACTATCTGGTATCCATAACTCAGGCCTCGTAGCTTACTATGGAACTAGATGGTGCTGTGTTAATGTCCCAAGATATTTATTATTTATTTATTATATTAATATGTTATTTATTTTTATAATACCAGGTGATGAGTGGCGGTAAAGTGACCACTAAAGTGGGCGGCGGCAACGCGCAGACCGTGCCAGTGCAGGCGCAGTGCGTGCAAGTGTCGCAGCCGGTGCTGGGCCAGCAACCGCAGGCGCAAATCATTAGCCCATTGCAGGTGAGATATATAGGATATACTAATATATTATATGTTAGGATTGATATATTTGTTTTAGAAATGTGTATGAGTTTGTTTATGTGGAGTGTTTAACCTAGTTATATTGTTTAGTGAGAAGTTTTACCACCACTTCTGTCGAGGCTCAGTTGTCTTAAATGTGTCACCTTTTTTTGGTTTCATTTTAATAGCAATTTTTTTTAGAATTCGTTTTGGACGCATATAAATATATAATCTATATCAGTAAAAACGTCCGCTATAGTGATTAATTATTTTTATATAATATTGAATAATTAATAATTATTCATTAGCTCAGATTGTTTCAAATAAATATATTCCTTTTAAATTCAAATCATACTTTTTTATAATTTGCTGAAACTGAACTCCACTAATCAAGGAAAATTTACTTATATGCTATAATATCCTATATACATATGTAATATTATATGGCTTTGCGAATTTTAATTTAAATGCAAATGCGATGATAATTTCATAATCTTCGCTACGGCCATAAAATTGCTAAAGCGCTGCAAGTGAATACATATAATTATATGAACAGTTAAGAGTGTTATTCATGGTGTGGTTTTACATTTTACATACTAAATTTCTAACTTTATAACAGATCTTTTTATTTTCAATATACTTACCTACTTATTTGTCTTTTTCATATTCAAAATATAACTTTAAATTAACAGATTTTATATTGAATATTTAACAGGTCTTGTAAAATGAAAAGTAATAAATTGATGTATTGAAATCAAGATTACTATAAATTTTTTACATTCTTACTATGGTTAATTTGGTAAAATATAAATTTTACGGTTTAATTTTTTATGTATAATTTAAAATAAGTTTATTATTGAATAAAGTTGTATTTGAATAGTATTTCATTTGCAGAGCAGAACGAGGGAAGAAAATTGATAGTTTATTTTAAATGTTGATGGTTCAATTTTATCCGAAATATCGAACGAACGTTTATGTTCAAATTTAAATGAGGACATTTTCAAAAACGACTTTATTATGCAGTACAATATGTCATTGAAATGATTATAGATGTGTTAATAAACGCGGTGGTTACAGACTGGCAGTCAAACTATGCAGTTCGCTCCGTGGCAGATTTCCGGGGCCCTCCCGCACATGTGGACGGGAGGCCTCCAGGCGGGGACTCTCCCCGCGGGGGGTTTGTTAGCCCCTAACCCCATATTCATAAGGGGTGGACAACCCGACGCATCAACCTCCATGTTCATACAGCACTCCCCTCAAAACAACGTGCAACACAACAGTTAGTATCACTTTACATTATATACATAATTGTTGGCTGTGTGATGGATGATATAAATATTTTTAATAGCTGTGTCAGCTATGCGAATTGTTTTGTTTAAAAACCAGCGATTGTGTGTTTTCTTTGCTGCGATTAATCATTGCATTTTTGTGCAAGAATAGCGATTAAAATTTTGTTTGCTGTTATTAACTGTTATCAATAGTTTTTGTGTGATTTAAATATTCATTCTAATACGTGTTGCACTTATGGCCTTACGGAAATTCACTTTATTTAAGAATTACACAGAAATGTTTCCAATTCTTGCCTGTTCCAAAAAAAAACTCTAATTTTGTTGACTACATTTTTATATAAGATGAAGTTAATAATTATAATCTTAAATCGATAGTCCATTATATAATAGAACTATACTAAAATGCATTTATATATATCCATGATAATATAACCATTGTTTAAATATTACAAATATGTGTACATAATTTTATCATTTACAACTTCCCCATACATTACGATAACTATAATGAAATAAAAAAATAAACAGTATTTACATGTTTATTTTTTTTTAGATTTTCATTAGATTTTCCTAACGTTTCAACTATTCGTGTAGATGCAACGGTGGCGTGTGCGACAACGTCGAACAAGCCGCGGGCGTCGTCCGACGGCCTTACAAAGACACCGCGTCCGCTCTCGAACATACTGCCGTCCGGCATCCGCCCGGCCTCGTCCGTCTCCACGCAGACTAATGCCAATCAGGCTCAGAATCAGGTAAAGTTTGTATTGTATGTATTCAGTCCTATTTAACGTCCCACTGCTGGGCACGGGCCTCCCTTCAATACGAGGGGGATCAGGCCATAGTCCACCACGCTGGCCAAGTGCGGGTCGTCTGACTTCAACATGTCTTTCGAAAACTTGCTATGTTCTCTTAGACATGCAGGTTTCCTCACGATGTTTTCCTTCACCGTAAGACAAGTGGTAATCATGTTAGAAATGATTCGCTGACGACATGAAAATATCAAAGGTACGAGACCCGGCATTTGAACACGCTTCACTCGGTTTCCCAAGGGAGCGCGTCACTGCCTACCAGGTTACTGGTTAAGTTTAGTGCTTCTGTATTATCTACGTACTGGTTTTACTCGTGTATAAAATAGTAGATGATCTACCGACCAAAACGCTTCATAACGTAAATATATTCGAGGAATGAATAAATTATATTTTTGTTACAATATACTTTTTCTTTGGATAATTTAGTGGTTTGCTATATTATGATATAATATAAGATTTATTTTTCTCTGGCTACTGTTACACCACACAAATCACTAAAACACAAATTTTCAGGAAATGAAATAACGGTACATATCTTTATGCAAATTTGATCAATACTTATGAATAAAATAATTTATTCATAAGTATTTTTCTTTCAATTATCATTGGTGTACAAAATTCTTGTTACAACAAGCATTAATAATGACTAAATATTGAGAAGGCTTTAGAACCACTATATATAAAAATGTTACTACTCTCACATCGCTCGTAGCCTAGGTGTTGTTCCCGGCCATAGTTTGTGTGCTAAATTTCATCAAAATAAATCCAGCCGTATCAGCGTGATGGGGTTACAAATATATACGTATGTATATCAGCGGCGAAGGGTCCATGCAAGAACCTTACCTTAAAATGTATTTTGCTATAATTTTACATACATTTACATATATATATATATATATATATATATATATATATATATATATATATAATATAGACTTACATACAAACTTTCGCATTTATAATAGTAGTGTGATATAATGTAAACAGGCAAAGCAGCGAGGTAAGCCCGGGGTGAGATCGCCGGCGCCCACGTCTAAGCAAGACGCCGCCAATCAGACCAACAAAATGCAACACCAAATACAACAACCGAAACAACAGTATGTTATAATAGAGTAATTTTTTTTTATATTTAATATAATTATAATGTCTGCTTACCTTCTATTTCCTAAACGGATGTAGCAATTCTTAGCTTGTTAAATTAACCGTCTTGTCCTGTGTTGAAAAAAATTTCAAATAATATTCTGGATCTATGAAGTACAAATTACTCTATAGAAACAAAACTATTTTTAGGGTTCCGCACCCGAAAGGTGCCAACGGAATTCTATTAATGAGCTTCCGCTATCCGTCCGTCCGATTTTTTTTAGATAATTTTGATTCTTGGTTCTCGACATTTTGAATTCTTTGTAGTAAACACGGTATTTATTTTTATTACACATAAATAAATTAAATTATACAAATCACCAATATTATAACAAAATAAGGGAACCGTACAGCTTCTAATATGTACTCGTAATAATAGCCGTAAAATTTAAACAATAGAAACCAGTATCGCCGTGCTTCTTTGTCCAAACATCCAATTTACCGAAAGGGATTTTAAATACAGAACAATTGACTTTTAAATATCAATTCTATTGGTATTAAATACACATTTTATTTAAAAAATAGCCTAAAACTTTAATTATCTATACATATTTAAACATCTTAGGGAAAAAAATCTGTACTTAAAGTAATAAAAGTATTGGTGGTTTGAACAAATATGCAGTAACGTGACGATATCCTATAGAATTATATAAATCACTAATGTTACAACAAACTAGCGACTTACTCTCACTTCGCTCGGGTGCGTCCCTAGGAACGTTTTAATTCTTTTAATTCTTTTGGCACGTTTGGAAAAAATATGAAAGTAATTTTTTTACAATGCGCGCGCACACCACGTCCGACAGCCAAAATGCGACATGATGAAGTTAGCTGCATTCCTTTTTCAAACAAAGATTTTTGACATACGGGATGAAATCTAGCTATTTTTGTTCTGTTATGCCAAAAAAGTATAACTATAACTTCTTACGCGCGTACATAACTACACACACACTTTTTTTCACTAAAATAAAATTAGCCGAAGTTACTCGTTGTAACATCAGCTATCTGCCGGTGAAAGTTCCGTCAAAATCGGTCGAGCCGTTTCGGAGATTAGCCGGAACAAACAGATCGAAGAAAGTTTGAAAAATTGTGTTTTTTTTATAAATACTGTGTATAATTTTATATGCATTTAATAATAAGCTTTTATTTCGAAATAACAAACTGGCACTTCAATTTTATTTATCTGTGTGCGTACATTCATGATCCATACAATTTCTAATACAGACTGCTGGTGATGAACTCTAGCGGTCAAATGACACAGATCACGAGTGTTGCGGACAAACAGCCGCTCACTAAGAACATACAGCAGCAGGCCATATTGCAACAACAAGCCATACAGGTCAGTTATACACGGGAATGAGGGTTTGGGCACTTTGTTATATTTTATACAATTACTAGCGACTCACCCTCGTTTCGCTTGGGTTCGTCTCTAGCTTGATTCCCCATACAAATTTTCCCCCATTTTCACCCCCTTAAGGGATGATTTCCGGAATAAAAAGTATCCTATGTCCTTCCCACGGTCTCAAACTATCTTCTTACCAAATTTTATCGAACACGGTTCAGTAGATCCAGAGATTACTAATTATAATGTCACAAACTTTACCTCTTTATAATATTATTAATATACATTACTTATTGTAGATATTATTTTGCGTTTGTTCCTTTAATTTGTTATTTAAGAAATTGATTGCGATGAGAAAATCATCATACATGTTAAATTAAAATGAAGTATTGCATTTTAAATTTGGGCAGGCTTTTATATATTTTTTTTATTTTCAATAATCGTTAAAATATTTACGCCAACGAAGACGGCCGCGTAATTCATTTATTTTAGTTATCAATGTAATATATGTCTATTCCAACTGTTAAAAACAGCAGCAACAGCATCAACAACAGCAACTCATCCATCAACAGCAGACTCAGCAAATGGTTCAGCATTATCAACAACAAGGTTTACATTTTTAGAACAAGATATACTTTTTTTTGCTTAATATAACATTATAGCTATTTTAAATCGGTACAGTTAAATGACTTTTCGGATTTTTTTCATGAATTTATTTTGGTTTTCAGTTCTAGACCAAAATAAATCCGCGAAAAAAATTGAAAAGATAGTTTTATTAATTGTATCAAATATTATTATATAATATTATAGAAATAGGAGGTAATTCTATAATATTGATTTTAATTAAAGTGTTGTTTTTTAGGTATGACATTGGGTATGCAACAAAGTACATTACCAGTGGGTTCTGTGGCGCAAACATTGCCTATGACTGGAATGCCGCAAACTATATCCATGGTTCAGCAAATACACCCGGTAATACATCATTTTTATGCTACACTAACGACTCACCCTCGCTTCGCTTCGGGATAGACCCTGGACAAAAACAAATCTATCTCACGAGAACCGTACATTTTTCCAGGATAAAAAGTAACCTATGTCTTATTCCAGACTATAATCTATCTCTTTGCCTTTCATCCAGGTCCGTTCAGCCGTTCTGGCGTGAAAAAGATACAAACATCCATCTATCCATCCTCACAAACTTTCACTTTATAATATTACTAGCGACTCACCCTCGCTTCGTTCTTGCTCGTCCCTAGCTTGCTTCCCAATACAAACTATCATCTACATTTTCATCCCTTTAAGGAATGATTTCCAGGATAAAAAGTATCATCTGTCCTTCCGAGAGTCTCAAACTATCTTCTTACCTAATTTCATCTAAATCGGTTCAGTAGATCCAGAGACTACCCCCTACAACGTCCCAAGCTCACAAACTTTACCTCTTTATAATATTAGTATAAATGTAGTATGAGTAATATATATTACCGCCGAGCGCTATAGACTATTTTTTATTACTGTAAGAATGTGTATACTGTCAGAAATCATAATAATTTAAAATAAAGTCAAAACTAAACAGATTCGACTCTATTAGAATTTTATTATATATATATATATAGATTAGTGAGAGAATATTGAGAGTCGGATCAGTACTTTCAATGATTATCCTCTACATACAAACTGTCAAACTATGCCACTTTATAATATTAGTGCAGATATTGAAAGCTATATCTCACATTTAATAATGTTTCAGCTCGGTGGAATGGCCCAAGCTAGTACATTAGTGGGGCAAATAAGTGGTGGCCAACCCCAAACTACACTAACACAAGTACAGACGATACAACAACCACAGGTTAGAACACTTTAATATATATTTTTTATCTTTTATATTTATTGACCACCCGCACTTGGCCAGCGTGGTGGACTATGGCCTGGTCCCCCTCGTCTTGAAGAGAGGCCCATGCCCAGCAGTGGGACGTTAAAAAAGGGCCGACTACTATATTCATTAATAATTGATCTAAAACAAATAACTTTTACTCTTATACCGATTTATTTTCAAGGGGCGATAAAACTGAGTACCCATCCTTAAGATAGATCTTTTTCTGAAGCCGAAATACATACATTTTTCATAATTTTGGTTGGTAATATATAGAAAATACATATTATGTACCTTAGCAATAAAATATACATACATATGTATTATTATATATTAAATGTAAATGTAATAACGTGCCATTATAGCTTTGCTCATTATAATTTATAATTTGTTTAATATATAATGTGTAGTAGTATACGTTTGAAAACGTAGCACATTCACTGTTTCAGGGTGTATTCATAACTATTTTTTGTATAAAAATGTTCCTTTTTTGTAATTTACCAATAATTTATTTAAAGGAGATAAATTCTTAAATATATCCTGCTTTTAATAATATTAATTATGTTGTGTATTAATTATGTTATTTTTGTTTATAGACTTTTGTTGGTAGTGGGTTAGTACAGACGTCAGTAGGAATGGCCGTCCAACAACAGGCTCTTAACCATTCCGCTCAAATGCAAACGGTAAGTACAAATTTGAAACTGACTCTATACTAATAATGACTTTTAATTTGTATTGATGAATTAATTCATTCTTTATATGGTTTTTTTAATAATTAAAAATATAAAGTTATAATATACTTTGCAGCTGCGATATGAAATTGTAAATATAAGGTCCTTACATATGAAATTGGTGTTTACATGAAAAAAGCGAAACGCAAAAAAAAAATTATGTAATTAATCAAAATATGTACCATTATTCTTTATGCATTTTCGCCATTTTATAGGTAGTTCATTGATTTCTGTGCTGAAAAAATTGTGGGAGCGAGAATCAATAAAATCTCTGAAGGCGGTTTTAACTGACTAATCGGAATTGTTTTTTTTTTCTATCGGTCTGCGGTCGTCCACGGGGTTAGTTCTGTCGGTCAAAATTTCCAGATCGAAAACGTTGGAACCAAAAACGTTCGTGTTTTTTTTTACAGAACCTTCCCCATACACATCTTTAATCCTATGCAGTGTTTCTGCAGCTGTGGTGCCATAGTGGAACTCTTATTGGTAATTAACGCGATATTTTAAGTTTTCCATATTGCGAACGATGCCAGAGAAAAATCAAATGGCGCGAAAATATTCTACTACTACACTAAATTCGAAACACGAATACACAAGCCTAAATTTGAAATAAAATTGATTTTGGAATTCCTAACCAAACGCCAGATATTTGAGATCAAAGTGGCCAGTTCGACAAAACACCATTTTCACATGTAAGGACCTAATAGTATATTTAAAGTTTGTTAAGTAGTAGATTAACGAAAGTTATAAATGATCCTTAGGGGCCATCCATAAATTAGGTCACACGAATTTAATGATTTTTTGAACCGCCCCACCCAGAACAAAATAAAATAAAAACTCAACATCAGCATCATGGCACCACGAGCCGCTTGCTGCCCAGCAAGAATTCACCAACAAAACAATATATACCTTTTATAGGGTAAAGCAAGATCATTTTTTTAAATTCGTTTACATTTAATGTTTTGTATAATATATAACGAAGCTTATGAGTCCCCCCTGTCCCTTGTCACGTGATGTCACACTTTGTTGACACATCCCCCTTAACGTGTGACGTAATTTATGGATTCCCCTTATAATAAATTAACCATCTAACTCTTACATAATAACTAATACTAATATATGCAATAAAAGCTTGATATTAAAATAACAGATTGTTTTAAATAGTTTTTTCACGAACCAATTGGTATGCCCACTTACAAATTATATCAGTCATTAATGAATTGCATGATATTATAATATAGTATTGGAGGTGGCCTTTGAGAGTGTGTTAGAATTAGCAAGTGTGAGTGAGCATTCCCCTATATAGATATTTACAATTTCACATAATAAGAACATCCCATGTTATGAGTACTCTTAAATAAACATTTTGTACTAATGACCCTTTAAAATCAACCCATGTTTAGATTTAATTTGCCTTTCATAAATTTGCACTACATTTGCTTAGTGCGCACAATGTATGATGAATTATAGATTTATTATGTTGTAAAATGTTTAGATATCAAAAATATTTATGAAGGACAGAGTGATTAGAAATAATTTAATACTTGCTAGATTTTATTTTGTAAATTGACGAGAAAATGTTTCCATTATAAATGCATTCGCATATATAAATAGATTTTTATATATTTTTATTTTTTCGTACTTACATTTATTTTAAATTCGCTTTTCATTATAAAGCATTGATATATGAATAATATAACATAACAATTTAACCGTATTTTTGTCACTGAGCATACTATAAATTGAGAAATGACACCCACACACAATTTTATATTTAATGCACAAACATTTTCTTGCCAATCTATATATGTCCCCCATAATATGTAAACATGTCCTTATTCATGGAGTAATAAAAAAAACTAAGCAATACTCCAATTTATATTCTTCAACTGACAATATTGTGTATTCTGCACGATAGCCTTGACGCGTATTGGTGAAATTAAACGTAAATATGGGTTGTATTGGTAACGGTGTGACGATGCGATGCGATTGGCAGCCGGGACTCGCGCTCGGGACGACGCATCTGCTGTCACCCCTCATGCAGCTACAGCCGGCCGTGTTGAACCACGAGGTAGCGCCGCTGCTATCCCGCACACCCCAATACAATCCCAAACACCCCCAACACCCCCGCACCCCCGCAACCCCGCGCATACTCCCGCATGAAGTGTCACCCTTCTTTCCTCTCGGTTCATTTATTGCTTCACTACTACTAGCTTAGTCGCGGTTTCGCATCTCTCATTTTAGTCTAACGCAATGTTTCTCGTGCTGTATATGGCATGATGATGTATCTATGTTATGAATGTTAAACCGTTTCTTATATGTGTTTCTATCATGATCTCCTTACAAGAAGTCATAACGTAATACAATATAATCATTCTATACATATTCTAGAATCTAGATCATTCTAAAATTATAAAGATACAATATTTAATGTGTTTCTTAATTTTTAATTTTTTGTTAGTTGTAAACGTTGAATTTCTTAAAGAGTTTCATAAGATTTCAACAACCTTATTCTAAATAAAAAGATTAAGTATTTAAAAAATGGTTTTTGGTCATTGTATAGATTTAGATAATTTAATTTAATTCGCTGCGAAATGATCTCAATATTTTGACATATTAAATTCAAGCTATATAATATTATAATATAATAATAGTTATAAATAGTAATTCAATAAGCATTATGAATGTTTGTCATGGTATTGTGTATTTAGAAAAGAATCGAGAATGCATGTTGGTTTAGGTAAACAAAGCCGTACTCGTACGTAGACCGTGCATGAAGTAATTACAAAGTAACATGCAATAAAGAAAGTAAACGGAGGCGATCAAAACATAATTGTTTATTTACATTTTTTACTGTCTAACCTCTGCTCCTTACTATCTCTGAATGGAAATGTCTATTGCTGTCCTGCTTTATATGTATAAATAACATATAAATTGTGTATTTACAGTGGTATTTAGCATATATATGGATTTGCATTTAATAATTGATTTCATTATTAATATTGTAATACTTCTTGCCATAACTAACTATATCAGTATAATTGCATTTTTTAAAATCTAAATGAAACAGTTCACTATCATTCATTCATTGACTTAAGCATTATTAACACCAAAAATATTTAATAACTTTATTATTACTAGGTGTCGGCGAATAACCTTAGCTCATCGCAATTAACCCTACAACAGGGGACAGTTGGGCTAATTACCGCACCGGTACAAGGGTCCATATTACCGCTTCAACCCCAAACTAGCACACTCGTAGCGCACGTCAAAAGCGAGGACGATAAAGGCCAACAAATACAAGCAACGGTATATATAGACATATGTACATACGTAACTGATATATTTTAAATAACTTTAAGGTTTACAGGTTAATGAACCAAAATGAAATTCGACGGATTCTTAGTTTATTCTCCTTTTAGTCAAAAATTTACATCAATGTAATTAATATCTTAATGTAAAAGAAATATGAATAAACGATATAATGCGCACTAATCAAATGATTTCTAGACGGTGGTCCAACAAATAACGACTCAAGGGGAGAGTGCAGAAGGCATAGAAGCGACCGCGGTAACGCCGTCCGTCTCACTCCCCGCTAGCTCTAATGTGACCGATGCCGCCGTATCTACAACCACATCTACTGGTAATTATTAGTTTTGCTTTACATCAAAATATGTATTTAATATTATACGATATCTATAGTCTAGTTCCAGACGAAGTACCTATTGGATTTTTAATATGTTTATGCCCATAATGTATATTAAAAAAAAACGTGTGTGTACCTATGTATGCACGTAAGTTACTTTGAGAACAAAAATAGCTAAAAATTTCATCCCATATTTAACTCTCTGTTTGTAAAAGGAATGATAAATTAATAAAATAAATAAATAAGCCATATTAGGCATATTACAATCATATACATATTTATAAATATCATTTAAGAAAAGAATGTTATGTATCATTTGTCAGACAATAATAACGTCATGTCGATTTTTGGCTGTCGGTGAGCGCGGGCATAGTAAAAATTTTACTCTCATAATTTTTCCAAACATCCAAGAAAAAGTATAACTTCAAAAAGCAGTTACTTTTTAACAAAACTTTAAAAACATGTGTTACAAATAAAAATATAACGGATGATCTGTACACACTATGCTATAAACGGCACTTTATTTTTAATTAATTTAAAAAATGCCAACCAATTTAAAAAATCCATGGAACCTAAAACTGTAATTTGTGTTATCATTAAATTCATATTGTTCTTAAATTCTTATATTAACTTGTAAATCTATACAGATAAATAAAATTAAATTGTCTATTTACAATGTTAAAACACTTGTTTTTACTAAATGCATATAAATTATATATGGTACTTATAAGAAAAACACAATTTTTAAATTTTCTGTCTGTTTATGCCTGCTATTCTCCGAAATGACTGGATTGATTTTAACGGGACTTCCACCGGCTAATAATTGATGTTATATGGAGAAACTTACGCTACTTTTATTTAAAAAAAAATTAGGGTTCCGCTCAAAAAAAATAAAACGTATCTAAGAACGCACACGAGCAAAGCAGGGTTAAATCGCTAGTTAAATATAACTTGCTTCCAATTCAGGTCCAAACACACCGACAGAGACGACAAAGACGAGTCCATCAAAAGTGGAGTCGTCAGTGAGCAGCGAGTCGTCGCCGTCGGCCAGCGCGCCGACCACGCCGACCAGCGCCGCGCCGACCAGTAGCGCGCAACAGACCGCCTCTGCTGCGCCACAGGTTAATAATATTACATCATTACAGATAACATAATGACTTGTATTGTACGGATATATCATAACATAATAATTTTAAATAAAACTATCTTTTGCGGACTATTTCGCGGATTTATTTTGATTTTTGGTTCCCGAAGCGACGTTTCGAATGCTTTGTCAGTAGTCATAGTTACGGGAGAGACTAAGGTTATAGACGTCTCAAAGGCCTTTGAGACGATCGAAAATCAAAATAAATCCGCGAAATATTCTGAAAAGATAGTTTTATATAAAACTAGCAGTACCCGCGGCGTCGCCCGCGTTCAAACTACAAAAAAAAAAACTTTGACACACCGACTGCAGCCTCACCTACCGGGTCCAGTTGTATTTTCAAACAATCCTGGAGCCCATTGAAATATATATACAATATTTCATCCAAATCGGTCCAGCCCTTTAGGAGGAGTAAGATGACAAACACACGTACAGAAGAATTATATAGGTATTATTATTTAATTTAACTTTTTTTAATTTGACAGACTAAAATTAAAATTCGAATATTATTTAAAATTTGACACTGCGATGGTAGCGCCGTCTGTCGGATCCAATGTAAAACATTCCAAAATAAACAACTACTAATAAATTAAAAATTAATTAAAATAAAGTTTATTCATTTGATTAAACAAATTTTATTTTATAATAGTTGCTAAACTATAACGTTAGATGGCGCTGTTATTTAACAATGAAAACGTAATGTGTAATAAGCTGCGATAGATGGCGCTGTATGATTCTTTCATTATTATAAAATTAAGTTTTACATTTTTATACATATTTATACACAAAATTGTGAATCTAAACCATTCCCAGATCCCCTTGAACACACACAAAAAATTTCATCAAAATCGGTCCAGTCGTTTAGGAGGAGTTCAGTCACATACACACGCACACAAGAAATATATATATTAAGATGTCAAATATTCGCGTAAATCTAAGAAAGTATTAAATTAGAGTAAATACAACGACAAACTCTAATTGGCTCTGGATGCAGACAGCTAAGGTTGCTGACTAGTAGGGATATTGTTAAATATCACATTGAAAAAACAAGGAATAGCCTTTTGGAACCGACATAACATATTTTTTTTTAATTTATTATAAGCTACCTTTATTGTTGACCATCATCAATCACCACCTATCTAGAATAGAGAAAAAATATTTGGACATTGTCATATAGCCGTTACCGTGATTGGATCGTAATGAAACATCAAACACTGATGGTCATCGAACATACTCCCTAATATCTAAGAATAGCGAATCTACGAATATAAAATATATAGCTTCGATTTTTTTTTCGTTCATTTAAAAAACATGTTGTTTAACGTCTTCTCTCTTAAAACAAAAATATTAATCTAATAGCTTTATGTACTATTTAATGAAAAAAATTATATCTTTCTCATCACAGGTGGTGACGACGGTAGCATGTTCCAGTTCCACGTCAACCATCACCACATCTATAGGCGCGCCTGTCTCGTCGGGAACCTCCACAGCGTTATTTAAAACGTCACAAAGTACAAGCAGACATATGAACCAACAAGCTGTACATGGTAATTTTACTTATATACCACTAATAATATATATTTAATACAATACTTATATCTACCATTTCACTTTTAATGGATCTGATGTACTATGTGTGTATATTGTATGTATATATGACGTACGTACTCTATTATCGTTCTTATGCATTTTCTCTGGAAGAACAATATATATACTAGAAATAACTTTCCTCTATACAAGCCATTTATTTAAATAAAGAATATAATAAATATCAGTTGTGTCGTTTAATGGTTTTTTGTGTAAATATTAAAACAAACTTTATTTACAGATAAAGGTTTACCGAAAGCAATGGTGAAACCCAATATCTTGACCCACGTCATAGAAGGTTACGTCATACAAGAAGCCGGAGAACCATTTGCAGTAAGTGTTCTTTTAGCATTTACCAATTATATTCGATAACCTTAGATGAATGTTGTATAATTATTATTTTTATATTATTTTAGGTAAATAGACCACTTCGAGAATGGGCATCGGCTGACAAAGAACAAGATAAAGAAAATAAGCTTCCCTCAGCTGATGAGCCTCCTCGTAAGTTTCTGTACTAGTAACTCAACAGTTGCTCTTTTAAAAATAATATTTATTTATTAATGCCCCGCTGTTGCTGCTTTTTATGTCGCATTTCCAATTCATCGAGTTTCGAATCACAACGATTCTAAAGATGTTTCACTGCAATATGTCACCTTTATTCGAATCACACTTACATTCTTCTGGTGCGTCACAGGTTAATAATTACAGATAACATTATGACTTGTATCACGGTACGGATATCTCATAACATAATAAGAACTTAGAGTAAGTAAATGTAACTCCTTAAGCCATGTAAATATCGAGTATCGACTAAAATTTTTTTTAAATGTTAGGCAAAAAGCAGATGCTGGACAACGGTGCGAGCCTGCCGCGTATAAGCTCGAGCAACGAGTCGGAGGGCGCGCCGGCGAGCAAGCCGGAGCCGATGGCGGTCGACCCCGAGCCGGCCGCGGACGACGCGCAGCCAAAAATACCCAACGCTAATAAATGGACCGTACGTGTCTTATGTACTTTTATTCCTCAATGGTTCTCTATTATGGAATTACGGTTCTAGGTTCGAGCCCTGGATCGTACATGTTCTTAGTATCGGTCTATGAACTAAATTACAAAAGAAATAGAACACTTTCTATTTCTTGTGCTAGCGAAAAGACAATGGTTTGATATTTTGGCCGAATAAAAAAAATTGCTACAAAAAGATCATTTTCAATATTTACAGTCTGAGCATTTCGTTTTGTTAACACGTATTAATTTGGTACAAATTTAGTATAGATTTTATCAAAAATCCTTACTAATTAACTTGTTAAACCGCAAAGCACTTTTGCTACATGTTATTTATTTATTTTTTCATTTTTTAATGCCAAGAATTTTCCTTAAATCCAGGTGAGTGAAGTCTGCGACTTCATCCGTAGCATACCCGGATGCGCGGGATATGCGGATGAGTTCCTCATGCAGGAGGTTGATGGCGAGGCCCTGCTCCTCATCAAACCGGAGCACTTGGTCATGGCGCTGTCCATGAAACTTGGACCTGCTCTCAAGATTGTGGCCTGCATTGATTCCCTCCGACCGGAAACAGAACAAACGGTCGCTGACCATGACTGAGGTAAATAAAATAACGTGTATGTATACCAAATTTCAGCTCAATCGGACACTGAGAAGTGGGTCTTCAACTTGCAGGATATGATTACAGACTCCGGAATAGGTGAAACTAAATAAAAGCTTGTAGTAATTTTTATTCTTATAGATATAGGACACGAGTTGTGTGTAAAGAAATAGCGGAATAAATGTCTTGAATATAGATATCACTTCACACTGTACCAATAAGGAGATTTAACTTCACACTGTAGCCAATGACGACTAACTTCATATTCAATTAAAATTCATAAATGCTTCAAAAGTACTTGTAATAAGTCTTATTGAACAAAGTTTATTTCATTCATTCATTCATTTAAGACAGTTTTAACAGGAGTTTTCTGTATTAAAATACTGTTTATGTATATCATTTCTTTTTATCTATATAAATAAAAATGAATGTAGCGTAAAATTCGAGAACGGCTCGATTAATTCAGCTACATTTTTTTTTCGTATGTTCCTTAGGTACACGGGAAGTTTCAATACAGAAAAAAAAATAAAGTAAGGTATATAAAACAAAGTCGGCTGGACCAATTTTTATAATATTAGATTTTTTGGGTTTCTCTTAGTCCGGAATAGGATAATAATTATTAAAAAATCAGAAAAATTAACGGAAAAAATTACATGGCTAACGCTGGCTAATAACTATTTATATCTAATACTTTCTTAGATTTACGCGAATATTTGACATTTTAAATAAAACTATCTTTTCGGGAGAGACTGTCTGACGGTCTCTCCCGTGACCATGGATGCTGTAAAGCATTCGAAACGTCGGGAAACAAAAATACAAATAAATCCGCGACAAAATCCGAAAAGATAGTTTTATTTAAAATATTTATATCTATTTAAAACGTACCTAGCGACGAACCCGAGCGAAGAGAGGATGAGCCGCTAGTAGACAAATATAATATATTGTTTTTTGTCAAGAGCACTCTAGTTATGTAACTGCATACATTACATTTAGTTAGTACATTTTATCTTTTTTGCTCTTGCTCTACTTGTGTCTAATTTTAGGTAACACAATTTCACGTGATCACGTAAATTTCCTAAGACACATAACTATTTGAATGGACTTGCTTCATTATTGCCCAATCTAATAATTGCACGTTATGTTTATTATTATAAACGTTATGGTTTTTATTATTCTTATGAGACCTTGAAGGAACTGTACTAGATTATAACACTAAAACACAAATTTAAACTAACCCATACTACATATATGTATGTACTATGTATATTATGTATTCTGAAATCGAATCAGAGAACTACACTTATGCTCTTGAATAAAATGATATCGATTTCATACATTCTACTGTTTATTTTTTAAATATAGAATTATATAATATAAAAGTTATCTGTGATATTTTTAATAGACGGAATTTTCTCACGCTCTGGCCTCACGGCATTTCTCACGAATCGGCTAATTAACTAAATAGTCATGCAAAGCTACTTGTAACTTAAAAAATAGTGTGTATTCTTATTGTAACCGATAAATATCTCTTTGTTTCAGATTTAGCTTTCAGGTTGTTGGAAATGATCGATGAGGACTTATGAGTGTTAAGTGACCATGAAGCTGCGGTCGCATACTTGCTGAAGCTATTGTAATTATTTCGTGACCTAGAACAATATTGTTTTGAACAATTTACAACAAACAATACGCCAATGAACCACTTGTAAATATTTTGTGTACACAATTTTAATATTTAAGACGTTCGCTAGCCGCCATGAGGGATATGCCTTGTGTATATACATATATAAGTACTGGAAACGGAATATTTACATTTAAATTTGTAGTGATACGTGTTACTTTATTTGTTTAATATTATTATCTTTCTAAATGTCTTGTACCGCCTAATGTAAATATGTATGGGAGAGAGGATTCCCTCCAGTGATGGTTACTTCGACTTCTTTATACAATTTAGTTGTAGCTATATATTAAAGTATGTGCAGTAAATGTGATGAACGCTTAAATGTCATGTCATTTATATTATACGTAACATTTTGTTCGACGATATCCGTTAGTTTTACATTTCCTTATGACCACGTCGCTCATTTGCGCTTTAGCCACATGACTAATCAAGAGTATTCTATCTCTGTGCTACAAACGCTGTATTCATATATTCTGTTTATGTAATTATTAAATATTTTCTTTGTATATTGCGATCATGAACCTAGGACTATGTCGAAAGTTCCGCCTATTTAGTGTTAAGTGATTTGCGTGTTTCCGCAAAATACATTTTTAATTTAATATCCTTTGAAGATGACCGAAGCGGTAACAAACTCACACCTTTACATTGCATAAGTATGTTTTCGGGGAAAAGCTAAATATAGAAACTAACAATATCTTTTATTTTATTATAATTATATATATTTCAGTGATAAGTGTTTCACAAGTATATTTTAAAGTGAATAAATTACGTTAATTATTATTATATACAAATATGAAGTGTTGTAAAACATTTTGTTTGTTACCGTTTTAGTGCAAAATCTTCTGTAATAGCGTAGTTACTCATTATATGTTGTGTATGTAACTCTTTAATAGGCAAGTATCAGCGCTTGAAATGTATGCTTACAATTATAGTTGCTTTATAGAACAAGAAATCGGCGTCAATTTTATATTCGGTGCTAATGCTCTGTTTTAACTTGAATCTAACATAAATTGTCCATCACTTATGATAAATATCTATTGTGAGAGGTTAAATTAAATATAACTAACGAAATATTTAATTTGTAATCATATTTTTCAATCGCTCATATAGACTGATATTTGTTTATTGACGAGTAAATGAGTGCGCTTACTCGTGTTTATGTAACGTACTACCACAGTATAAAGGTCCATCCAGTAGCCGGGTAGTTCTGTTGATTTTAATGGAATGGCTGTCAAATGTAACAAGGGTCGTCAAAAATACCAATTTTCATGGCAAACGGCTTTAAAATTAAAGCACTATAGTGCCCTCTCGGGTGTGTACTTGTCATTGTCTAAACGCTGTCGTTAGACGACTGTTTGGATTAGTAGACTGTGGTACTACAGTCTGCTCGCTCTATTGCATGGTATCCATTAAGTTATAATTTGTCTCATCGAAATGTTCGTCGCTTTGTCTAATCCGACTCTCGATTATAATATACCATTAGCCATTTAGTTTCAATTAGATTTATATTTCCTTTTTTAATAAAAACATTCACGATTTCAAAGTTCAAAATCACTTCAAATGTAAATTATACCTCACATTTTAACTTTATATTTATGTAATACCTTTTTTATATAATCAAGAAAATCACAATATATAAATTGAAATAAAACAAGCCGAATTCTGTACCTCTATTTTTGGAAGTCGGTCAAAAATTATTTTTAAGTGTGATATTGCAGGTGCAATCGTTTGTTCGTGTTTTTATCGCGCGGTGTGTTGTATATTATGTATTGTTTCTCAAAAACTGAAATGGCATAAACGATAAAATCTATGGTGCTACTTAGTTCTTTTTAATGGTGTGCGTTATTATTTTATATTACTTTTAATAATTTAATGTTTTGTTTAAGATAACGGTATCGACTTTTGAGATTGATCTTTAATATTGATCCTAGTTTTTGTAAATAATAGTAGTAAGAAGTGTGGTGGAAGTGCTCACCGAAGTGTTACTGACCGAGTGGCGGAGTGGAGTGATGCGTTGTATTCTAATGATCTAAAACTATTGTAAAGTTATATATATTTTAAGTAAACACCAAATCAAAATCAATGATAAATCTAATATATATACATTATACAAGTACGTGAACAGAACAAGGACTCAACCAGAAGTAGTGTTACAAGTGTTTATGTATATAGGAGATCTTGTATGACAATTGTAAATAATGTTAGCAGACACACGACCGGACGCAGGTCGGTGACCATTAGCTTGATACATGGGAATTCGAATTTGTTTTACGTGATTTGCATGTCAAATGATATCTGTAACAATTTGTAACTAATTATTATTATTAGTTTAGGAAATGTACTTTGGTTACTTACCTACTACATAATGTTATCGATATATGTAATTGTTAAATATAAATATTTTTGAATTCCCCTTAGAATCGTCACGATTCATGTTTTATCGATCTATACATATTTCTTAATGAAGCTTATGTGTTAGTTAAGTTTTGGCGCATGTGTCGTGCGATCGCTTCGGTTCTCATTAAGTTAATGTCTACGTATAGGAACGTACATGGTAGTAGTAACAATAAGTAAAACATTTTGTTTGAATTATAAATGAATGTGTCGTAGTGACAATGTTTTGTTTGTAAATTTTGAATAATTCTCGCAACGGCTTGAGCACTGCCATGAGTTAAAGTTAGTGAAGCACGTAGTCGCGGGTGTGAATATAGGAGCGGCTACTAGGGTAAGGACATTCGATAGTGCGAGATCGATCACTCCCTTCGTTGTAACGTACTTGTCGTATATTGTCATCTTTCATACTTTATAGACGTAAAATATGAAATAAAATTGTATGTTAATTGTCCTATCACTTTGCTCAACTCTTCACGAGCTGGACTTTTCACGTTGGGATTAATATTAATAAAGCGGATGAGACTGATATTTGTTTTTTTTAATTCCAAATTTCTTCTATCCTTCTCCTTCCTGTACACAGCATATTAATATTATACATCCTAGTCGGGGCTATTTTTGACCGTGGTAAAAACACTTAAATCGCTATTCAAACTCAGTAATGACTGAAAATACGATAATTTGATTTCAAATCACATTTCATTTTCCTTTATCTAAAGATTAATTTTACGCTAACGGAATATAACGCCATCTGTTGACATTTGAGTGATTTGTTCCTGGTAAAAAGGGGTCCCTTTTTATATTACTTATATCGGAGAGGTTTCATTTAACACGCATAATTAATATCTTGCAACTTTGTAATTCGATCTTAGCCAACTTTTGATTTGTCAATAGAGCTAGTACGTGAATAGTGGAACTCTTCAATGGCTGCTAGTAAAGTCTTTAAATTTGGGCTCATTCAATTATATTGGGCGAGTGGTAGACATACATTGGCCACAGGCATGTTTTTTTTAAATTTTTATATATAGTGTTTGCTTTTTAAATTTAATATAGTCGAAGTATTAATAATAGTAAAGTAATCAGAAATCATAGTAGGTAATAGGTAGGTATGTACATGTTTTAAACTACTTGCGAATCTTGCTACGTGTACCTATTGTATGTCTCCGACAAAGGGGTTAGTTACATACTCTGTCTTCGACTGCATAATACTATGTTATTTATGAACTTGTTCTCATCTTTTTAGTTCGCTTTTACGCAATCTGGTTTTTATTTATATAATTTTTTTTTTGATATGAAACATCTATTGGCGCGCCTTGGCAGTAAAATCTATTGAGTCGAGACGGCAATAGGCATAACGCGCATACTATACAGCTCCATTGTAAAAATAATATATATATTCTCAATATTAAGTCAATTAAAATTATTAAAACTATTATAGGAATATTTCAAGAGTAGGTAAATTAAATAAAAATAGATATTTATCAAAAAAATACTTCTTCCATTTATTTTTAAATGTGCGATGGAATTATGTATATCAAATAAATATTGTTAAAAAATATACCAATCTGTATAATAATATATTGTTTCAGTTTTTAAATTGATCAAAAAATATTTTTTTAGTATCTGGGGTATCTTAATTATTTAAAACATAAATTAATTATATTATAATAATATTATTAATTAATTAAAAGTACCGTTAACCTACAGAAGTTTCACTTCTTGCGCGCGTAGGTACACATTACACTTAGGTACTCTTTAATATTTTTATTGTTATAATTAAAATAATTAAAAAAAAACATTTTACTAACGAAACTATTTTTTTACTGTACTCCATATTTCGTTATAGGTTTTATTAATTATGAATTCTAATATTATAGATGTTTCACATCTGTCGGGCATCCTGTGACGGCCAACTTTTTTTCAAACGTATCTCTCTAGATAATAATAAAAGGAATAGGTAGGTACCAACATAAAGTATTTATTCTAGTATTCTTTTATTCCATTTTAAATTTTTAAGTAGCTAAGCCATGCTTAGGTAAATCTGCCTATGATGGAGAGACTTGACCTGAGCTTCATTTTTCATGATATATTTGAATGTGTAATATGTAATATTTTTAAGAAGCATTAAAAAGTGCATTGTAAACGTTTTATACTATTTTACGCGTAATTAGGGAAGAAGCCGTCAGCATGCAGACCGTCGTCGAAGCGATAAGGAAGGCGCCCGCGCACTGCTTCATGGTAAGAGCTCTTCGTATCCTTCCCGCGATTTTTGTCAATTGATAATTTGGTACTCTGGAACGTAAATTATAATGGATATTTCACATTTATAATATCTCGTAATATAAGTAAAATAATGTATGAATTTTACTACGTTCAGAAGCTGGAAACCGACTATTAATTCATTATTCAGCTTTACTATTTACCAGTATTCTTTCATTATATTCCATCGGCCGGCTGGCCGGGAGCGGTCTTATCATCATCCTAGTCTTATATAACGGTGAATGTGAACCTTTGAATGAGACCCAGTAAATCGATTGTTCGTTACTTTCATCCGGTGAAATTAAATATTTTCCATTAAGGTTACTGTAAAGAGAAAGTATGCATTTTAACAACACATCTTTAGTTTATGACAAATTTATAAAATATTAAAATACCTTTTATCGCATTCTTTATACCACCACGCTCCGCCATGTTCGTTGGCGCAAGACCCCTCTTTCCACTCGTCATTGTCCACGTCGTAAGTCGAGAATTTTTGACCAGCGTGGTACGACAGAGAATCACCTACATACATAGAAATAGAATAATAAGAATACGATGATATGGTATGATAAAATTAGGATTATATTTAACCCCGTTAAAATATCCAACTGACCGGCTGTTCCACGAAATGTTCCAATAGTACTTATTCGGTATCCTTCGTACTCTGGTCCCAGAGTAAACACTGAATATGTTCCTGAAGCTTCTTGTCCATGTTGCGATTCTATTTCCACTCTTAATTCGTAAAGTTTTTGATTTGTAAGGTAATAAATCTTCTCCAAGCCAAGCCAAAATTCGCCGGCCAAATTACCAAAGCCATGCTTGTATTCGTACCAGTTTTTGAAAAAGTCTTGAGAACCGTCGAATCGATTTTGTATTACCTAAAATTTATTAATATATATTAATAAAAATTATATATTCATAATAATTTTATTTTTTTAATATTATGATAATTTTATGTTAGAGACCATTTATTTATGTACCACACGCAGATACACTATTAAATAGGCAAATGTATCCTGATCTCTTTTAGCTTACTTTGGGGGATGCCAATGTATATGTATAAAATTATAGTAATAAGTAATTAATGAAAACATCTACTACCGTCCAGCCCCCGCCTGCAGCGTTTAGATCGCACAAAACATAAAATGGTTCCATTTCATCAGGTTTGATTTTATAAATTCCAGTTATATTAAATCCTTGTGTTTGAATTTCTTGACAATCTGTAGGATACCGCTCCGCGCGATCTACACGACCAGACCTAATAGGAAGGGAAATAAACACATTGAAAACTCAAAATGCTTCTGATTTTAAAAAAGTTAGCTAGTTTCTTCCTAATAATATACTTACTCTTATACTATTTTTCGCGAATAAGGTGTAGGTGTGTAACATGGTAGGAACCTCGATGAAAAGTTGTCATTATGTTGATCTATTTAATACTTAGACGAAAACTATGTACATAATATTTATGTACGCAGGCATGAGGCAGTTAGGTAGGTTATAAACATGAGACGTCGGTTAGAAATAAACGATAGGATCCAATTCAATTTCGAATCATATTTGTAGCTATTTTTGAAAAGTTGATTGAGAAAGTGAGATTAGTGGTGGAAAAATAGCGTTCAGAGACTGAAATAAACTAAAACTGTGCGTGTGCGGAAACCGTTGCTCTCTTAAAGCTAAAGTAATTAATTACACATCTATATTACAAAGGATATGCTTGAATTTCGGATCCCAGAACCTTAGCTCGTAACAATATAACAGATTAACTGTCCGCAAAATAGACACAATAGTTAAATAATCGAAATGTTCATATATGACTTATGGGATAGCTAAAGACATATATAAGCCTAAAAATCTAAATCAGCGCTGTTCTGAATTAAACAAAAACCATTACAGACATCCTTCTACCTCATTCAATTATCGTGAATAAAGAAATAATATACACAAATAATTACAAACAAACTTGAAATATTTAAAATTTATTTTAAGAGAAAATATCTAAGAAGTAGGTACTATACAAGAGGTTATTAATTCAATTTCTTCACTGGCTGATTTCTAATAAAAATAAAATTCTTTAATGATCATATTTAATTTTAAATAAAGATATTGACTTTAGAGTACTGTGTAGGTACTATGAAGTATTTAGTTACTATTTAGGGGCAAAGTATTCATCTTATGGTACTAACTTGCAATCGCATTTTTTTGTTTTCTGCTCGTGAATGACTCTCCGGAACTCGTTGATCAGAAAAGAGGGGTCGATGGCACCATTCACCTCAGGTCTGTGTATTGTTTACATTTATTAATTATGTTCAATAATTGTTTGTATACAAAAAAAATACATTGTTGTTATAAAAATCTTACTTATTTGAATTTCGTGTGCGCTGACGATTTTTCACCTCTGCGATAACGTTTGCTATTGTATCTACGCTGTTCATAACGGACTTCATGTGACTTTCCAGAAATGAAAGCCGACTATCTAAATTTACTTCTAAACTGCACTCCTTATTATCCACTAAAATAATTAATCAAAGAAAAGTTTGTATAAAAATGAAATATATAGATTTTAATATTCATTCTAATATACTCGTATACTAAGGACCTACAAACTATCCATACCCTTTGAGTCCTTACCAGAATGCCGTTGGTATTTTTCTAAGGAAAGTTTAATTTGACTTATATCTGTTTTTAGATCATCCCAAGAGGCGTTATATTTCTTAGAATCGCCTGGACTATGAACTGTAGTTGTTACCTCAGTCAAACGTTTCAATATCGCATTTGTCCTTTCATGTATTTCTATATCAAGCCTGTTTAGTTTAAAGTCTATGTTTTCAATTTTTTTTAAATATTTCTCGTTCGCTGTTATAGCTTCCATAAGCTTTTCTATTACTACTTCATTATCAGAGGTCGAAGTGGATTGGGCCGCTCGTGTGAAGTTTTTGTCCCTATCTGAGACGAGAAACGCGTCATCTAATTCCGTCTCATATACCTTTTTCCATATATTGTCATTCGAGTATAAATGCTGTTTTCTCTTTCCAGATTTTCCACGAATATTATCACTAGATGCTTTGGTAAAAACGAGCACAACCAGCAAAACTTTACACTTTGAAACCATTTCGAGATGTGGCAAATGAAAAAGATGTAAGGCAACTGGCGCTTGGATTTGTCATGGTCATTACCAACGAGTTTACATTTGTTAAAACAACAATATAATTACCTACAATTGATTTATTGTTTGTCTCAGACAAATATTTATGTATTGTTTATAAACACCATATTATGTTTAAATAGTTACTATATTTACTCATCGTAATATTATTGTGTATAAATAATCTTCTTTTATACACCAGATGAATCAAATTAAGCGTATACGGGATAGGTAGTATTTCTATCAACAGTGAAATTTTATATATATTTAAAAAAAGCTACTGTAGAGGTTCATGCGGTGTAAGAAATAAATTGTTATAGGTTTTGTAAAATGTTCATAGACACCTTCACATAACCGTTCAGTATTGATGTATATAAGTACCTATTAAATTTTACAATCACTCTCATCATCTCTACCATCTATACAAGATATAGGTCTACCCTAAAGATCCTCAAGTCTCCCCGCGTGAAGTCATACACTTTGGCTGCGACTTTACCAGGTCGTTAATTCACCTTGTCTAAGGCCTACTAGTAGCCACGCTTCGCCTTCTGATACGACTTCCTATTCAAGATTTCGGCAGCTCTCTCTCTCTTTCTCTTTCCTCCTCTCCCTCTCTTCGCTTCATGGGCGCATGAGTAGGGACTACTTCTGTTATTTTGCAACTAGTAGTAGGTACCTCGATAGTAACTACCTCGGTGGTGTAGTAACTATCATGTACGGCTACACATCCGGAGCAGGTTTGTGAGTGAAAAGAATAGAGAATGCACTGGTGTCTACACGTACACTTGTGCACTATGGAATCTCCAGCGCAGTTAATCTGACATTGTAGTCTCACTGAGATTGGCCACCGTAAACAAAAACGGTCGACCTCATCGTATTTTTGTAGGGAAGAACACATTGTACGACGTTTTCTGTCCGGAGATATTTAAGTGTATACTTTACAAAAATAATGGGAACTGTACAATGGATTTTTATAAATCCATATAGTACTACATCAAATTTATAAAATATCATCTTCAGTCCTTTCTTTTTTTGTTCTCGTCTTTATGCTTAATTGATAATAATAAAAAACGATTTTTTTTAACCTAACATTTTCTTTTAAAATTACCAATACAAAATCCTTACTTTTTTTCTACACTTTGAAAGAATAGAAAAATGAACACATATAAAACTGTTAAATAAATGGTAAAGCATAAGAAATACATTGCCGTAAGGCATCACGTTTCCGTGATATTTTCAGACGATGAATATCATTAAAAACGAACTCATCACGTGTTAGTTGTATTCAACAGTTCAACAGTTTAAATACTTCTCAAATCTCAGGTAAGCTATCTTTAACTCGAAATATTTCGGAAACGATGTTTTAACGTTTAGTATAGGTTGACCAGCTATCATCATACCAAATTTCATCAAAATCTGTCCAGTGGTTTTCTTGTGATGCGTTCCCAGACAGACAAACTTACAAACAGACAATTATAAATTCTAAAAACTATAGATTCGGCCTCTTAATCGATAGTAATGTATTATTTCAATAAGATATTCCAAAAAATATTTAATGTATGCAGATTCGACTCAGAATTTTATTACACGTTTAGATTTAAATAAGGACACAGTCCGATTGCAAAGCAACTTATTTGCGATTTGGTTCTTGTTCATTACAAAATACCTTTCAATCGGTAAACAGTGAAGTGAGTACAAGCTTATTTTGAATCTTAGGCTAATTTATTTTAAATTACCTACCTCTTAAATTTGGGCTTTCGTTCATCTGTTGTGATATTAATCGTTTAAGTTTGTCTAAATCAGTTTTCAGAGATTGCAGGGCGTTTTCTAAAATATCCACTGGTGAAGTTTTTATTACTCTTAATACCTCAGTCATATATTTTAAAATAGTATTTGTTCTTACTAAAAACACACTCTCCAAATGACTTAATCTATTTTCAACTGTTTCAATCATTTTTAAATATTTTTCGCTGGCCATCATAGTATCTACAAATTTCTCAACTGCTATTTCTCCTTTTGTTGTGTATCCTGCTGTAGTTGTATGCCAGCTGACATTGTTGTTTCGAGAATCATATTCATTTTCAATGGATATGTCATCCTCATCATTTCTGTTTTCGATCGGTGAGAATTCTTTCCTTGTACAAGAAATACTGAAAAAACAAAGGAAAAGGACAATGTTCGTCCACATTTCGACAATAGAAAACGACTCTATAGTCCAACACAGTATGATAAAATGAACGTCTTCAATTAAAGTTTAAAGTTAAGGCTAACTTATTTTTTAAACAATGCCTACTGAAGTCTTCTTTGTTATTATCCACTGTCTAAATATCGATACGGATCTGTAACATAAACTATTACTTATTAAATCAATCAAATCAAAACAATTTTGAATTTGATTTGATTTAAGTTATGAATTGTTACTGCAGAACATAATACTGACCAGCTTGGACTTCTTCGATTTTCATTAGTACAATAGAATATCCATTAACCCGATAGCGTGCTTAGTGTATGAGAGCCACAACGGTAAACTATATTTATTGGTGTTTTCCTATATTCTATTTTTGACCTTTCAAAGAACTTAAGCGGGATTTTATTAAAAGCATTAGCACTGTTGTTTTTGGGGCTCCGTGTAGTATGTTCACAAAGCCAAGCCAAGACTTCCTTTGTATCTGTACCTATTAGAAACATCCGGATACACTCTAGCTTATAGGTTTTCTCTCTCGCGCTCTCTATGTCTGTTATCGTTATCACTCGCCAGTCGAATTGGTCCATAATTTTCCCTTGGGTTCGAAATAATCTCCGTTCTCTTTCTTATATCTCACACTGTAAGTGTGCACTTTCGGAGAACTGAGCTATGTTACTCTGTTTAAATATATTTCGTACGGGGATTTCAACTCGGGTGAGATTGAGCGGGAGTTTAAACGCAGCGTAAGCCTTTTTACCACCTTCTAAAAGTGAGGCCACAGCTAATTTAATTTCCTGATTACTAATTTACTATTTATTTAGTCAAAAGTAATTTATAAAAACAGGTCTTTTTAAGTTTTTAAATGTTCCGTTAATAAACCGTCAATAGCATTAAGGCTGATTTTAAAGTCAACTTGACCCTAATAATATTTTTACCCTCTTAGGGGATGAATTTCGAATAATCTGATTGATAACATGTATTGCTTATTTTTTATCTTAAATTCTTAATTTTAACAACAAAAATGGTGGAGTTTCTTATCAACTTTACCACCCATTTTACCCACTTACGGGATACAAAACACGTGTTTATTTAATAGTATTGAAGGATATCAATACCAAGTTTCTAGTATTTCTGATTATACATATTTTTTGGGCTGTATTATAACGTGTTTTACCGTGGGAATGAGAAAATCTCCCATCACCATCACAAAAAAACACACCAATCCGTCACTCCGTTTCGACGTGAAAGAAGGACAAACAAACATACTTTCACATTTATAATAAAAAAAAGTATGGATATACTAATACTTGTAAAAGTAGATGTTAAGGTTGTAATACGAAAATAAATTCAATAATATTCAAAAAGAGTTTGAAAATTAAAAAAAAATATATATACATTATTATTTATTACTGAAAAAATAGTAGGTAATTATTTAAAAAGTCACGTGTAGTGTACGATCATCAAAGAAAATGAACTGACTATAAAAAGTCTGTTTTTAGTTAAACGTTAGGTTTACTATCTAGTAGGACTTCAGTTTACAATAGGTAGTTTACATTTAAAGGTTACATCAGAGAAAACCAGCATCAACTTTCAAACTTATATAATGTTAAAGTTGGGGTAGCAGAACTAAAACAATTTAATTATTAATTTAATACTTCTCTTTTATTCTTGTTAATGTGGTCCTTCGTAACTCTCTTAGCGTAAGCATATCAATTATCAAAAATAGAAGCAGCGGGAATAGAACGTTAACATTTGCTTCTATAGTTACCATTAGCATTTTTAAGTAAGTATATTATAAACAATTAATATTTTCTATTCTCATCTATTTCAGATAAAAGTACTTGTATCGTACCTACATAATTAATATACGAATTTCCTAACAAAGTGGTAATTAATTACTAACTCATTGCTATTATTTATTACAAAAGAATAAATTATTAATCTAAATGGCGTCATTTAAATATACCAAGCAGTGTTACCAACTCTACCAACTCTATTACCTTGCAAAAAAATCTATCACATTTTCAATTTTTTGAAAAATTTTAGTTCTTTATCCTCAAAAAGGATATGAATGCCTTCAATATTTTTTCATCAATCTTTCTTTCTATTTACCTAATCCTTTCAAAACATTCAACATCTTGAAGTAAGTAGTCCATTAAATATTTCGCAACTCAGATTACTTTAATTATGGAAAAATAAAAAAAAAATGCTCTCTAAGTTATTATATTGAAGATTGTACATTCATTGATTCTGATAACCATAGAATCTCAAGTGAATTCTTAATGATCACTGCTATAAATTGTCTTCAGGTTCAAGTAAAAAATATGTATTTATACGAATGAAGGAATTAAATATTTATAATTAAAAACTAATAAATCAGGATAAACTAAAACTTATCATGATTCGTTTTTCAATTTTTAAAATAGGTGAAATATTTGTTTCCCAATAGAAACATTAATTATGTGTATCATATTATGATTGTGAGGTCTTTAGAAAACTTAAAAAAATATATGTATAGATCTATTAACTTTTCAAAGTAGGATAGGTAGCGACACCTTTTATCTCGACCGTAAACTACTTTTTGACTGAAGGTACATAATATGTTTATTAGATTTAATTACAATTTATTATGAAACCACAATAATTTCTTTTCTTCAGTTAAAAATCTCGAAAGACATCGACAGGCTCTCGACAACTGCCCGCCGATCTGTCTGTTTTTCTAGTCTGTCTATTTTTATTTGTACTTCTTTTTGTTTCTTTTTTATAGGCCTTCCCATTTTCGTATTTTTTAACTGTCTGATTTATAAAGATACAACTGGCCTATCCCTATTAACATTGTCGGATATGCAAATTTGTCATTTTCTTTTTATTTCACTAATCACTCTTAAAAAGTCTCTTCTTTTAGTAGCTGCAACAAAAAAATATTTTTTACGAGTAGTTTTTAAAATAGCCACAAGTAATTTTTGTTAACCTAACTTGTACATTTAAAAAAATATCAACAATTCAAACTTTGACGCACTCTCCTGTAAAGTTGCCGATTTTCACATCCGACAATGTTAATAGGGATAGGGTCTTAGTTATTTGTGCATTCGCGTCGTCAGTGTGGCCAGCATAATCAATTAATGACTGTTTTATTACATGTACATTAAAATTTCGAAACCTTACACATTAAAGACATATTAAATTAAATAAGATAAGTACTACGTAACGTACCTAAATACGTTACGAGGTTTACTAAGAATTCCATGGGTATGGTCGTCTGATTAGGTGTAGGTTTGTCTGATTGCTGTGACGTTTGAACAACATTTGATTAAGTTAATATGATTTGACCTGTTATTTTAATTTAAATGAAACTGGCGTAAATTATAACTAATTTTGAATAAATATTGAATAAAAATAATACAAATGCAAGAAGGCCGTTTAGGTACTAAACACTATACTAAACACTATAGAGTAGACGAACTGAGAATTTTGTTATCTAACTTAGTATGTTGGCAACAATGATAACACATTATTTATAAATAATAAAATGATAATGAGATGGTTTGTAGGTTGAAACAATCTTAATGCTTTAGTCAAGAGTTTAGTCACGATATGAAGTAGTTATATAACTACTACACGAGAAAACTAAAGTTTTAATTACTAAACCAAGCACGTTACCACGCATATAATCCTTAAAACTACTACTCAAAGTGTCGAAAATGTTGAAAGTGTGTTGTAATTTATTTATAATTTTCTACATTATTTGTCTTTAGTGGATCTTTTTGAATACAAATCATTTTTATTTATGAATTTATAAACTTTACAGGGTCTAGTAGGACTAGTCTCAGGTGGAGCATCGGGTTTAGGCAGAGCGACGGCGGAACTACTCGTAAAACAAGGGGGATCTGTCATAATTTGTGACCTACCCAGCAGCAACGGCCAGTATACCGCTAAGCAACTAGGTCAAAATGTGGCTTTTGTCCCTACGGACGTAAGTTAAATAGAAGTTCTAAAATAATATTATTTGCTTAATATTAGTTATGTATATTTCTATTGTATTTTGACCTTACCTAGGCGATTGGCCATTAATAATACTTAATTTTATTAAAAAATGAAAATAAAATCACTACAAATTAATAAATCAAAAAAGGCACAACATCCGTGGTGTATAAACTCATTTACTATACATATAATAAAATTCTAACAAAGCCGAATCTGTACATTAAATATTTTTTGGAAAATCTTATTGGACTAAACTTTATTATCGATACAGAGGCCGAATCTATAGTTTTTAGGATTTTTGTCTGTCTGTTACCGCATCACAGAAAAAGCACTGGAGGGATTTTCATGAAATTTGGTATGGTGATAGCTAGTTATCCGAGTCAACATATAGGATACTTTTAACCGCCGGAAAATATCTCATTTCTGAGAAAAAATACAAAAACTGCAATGGGGCCGTTCATAAAATACGTCACACTAAAATCAGCTTTTTTTGACAAACCCCCCCCCCCCCCATTGTCACGCTGTGTCACACTTTCTGTGGCCCCTCCCTAGAAATATTTCGTCACAAAAACTAAGAATAAACTAATATGTAAAACCTAAGAATTTGGTTTTTGGTCATCTGAACGCGGGCGGAGCAGCGGCCAATGAAAATAATAATACTAGTATTATAAATAAAACAATATCTATGTATATAATCTATCAATTCGCTCAAGTCCACATTCTTTATTATACTAGTGTTAAAAATATTATCTTTTACGAAATGTTTATTTAAAACCGGCGTGAAAATTCTTACATTAGAATGTAATTATCAGTTACAAATAAAAAAATTTAGTTTCCGATACCATCCAACCCGTACAAACCAAATAAGCCCGATCGAAGAGTTTAAATTAGTAGTTAAATTGAAAAGTTTCATTAATCACTGTTGACCTCGTGGCCCCTTCGCTGAACAGTTTTATAATATACAGTACGCAATTGTTTCACTATCTGATATTTATTGATATGTTTATAATTTTACGGTATTTTCTATTTTTCTTGGAAATGACATATTTCCGAGATGCACCATTAGAATACGATTCAAACTAGCCAAATTATTCAATTGTGATCTGATCTGTGCATTTATGAAATATAGATATAAATAAAATAAATAAATTATATAATGACTATTCCTAGGTGACATCAGAACTGGATGTAAAGAAAGCCTTGCAAACAGTAGTGGATAAATTTGGACGTCTAGATGTGGCAGTCAACTGTGCTGGAATCGGATCAGGAATAAGAACATATAATTTTAAAACAAATCAACCTTTTGACTTAAAACTTTTTCAGAAAGTTATTGAGGTTTGTAAATTCTAATATTACGTAATAGGAATTATAATTTATATAAATATGGTGTAAAGTATCTCTATATAAACTATAATTATTTATAATATATAATTGCTACTTTTTAGGTAAATTTGATAGGCACTTTTAACGTCATCCGCTTGGCAGCTGGCTTGATTGGCAAGAATGCTCCTGATGCAGATGGCCAACGTGGAGTTATCATTAACACTGCCAGTATTGCTGCTTTCGATGGTCAGGTATGCTATAAGTATAATTTTATATAATGGACTAGCAACACACCCTCGCTTCGCTCGGGTTCGTCCCTAGTTACGTTTTAACGTTTAGCTCAGAGATGAGATACTTATTTTCCCGCAGTAAAAAGTATCCTATGTGTTGACCCGGATAACCAGCTATCATCATACCAAATTTCATTAAAATCTTTCCAGTAGTTTTATCGTGATGCGGTCACAAACAGACAGACAAAAATTCTAAAAACTTTAGATTCGGCCTCTGTATCGATAATAATGTCTATTTCAATAAGATTTTCTTAAATAAAAATTAATGTACAAATTCGGCTTAGTGACAATAATAAAATTATTTCGTTATATGTATAGATAAAAGGAACTCAAAGAAGAACTCTAAAAAGCCAATGTATTTTTTATAGATTGGTCAAGCTGCATACTCCGCATCTAAAGCAGGTGTAGTCGGAATGACTCTACCAATCGCCAGAGATCTCTCTAAGCAAGGCATCAGAGTCGTAACTATTGCCCCTGGTTAGTAACTACTTTATGTGAAATTGATTTTATGGGGGTATCTATCTAAATTTTGAAATGTGTAGGTACTTATTTATAAACATTTCTTACTTTTGTGTAAAATCTTTAAATATATTTACTATAAACCTAACATTGTGTTTTTACAGGACTATTTCGAACGCCATTATTAGAGAAGTTGCCGGAAGCGGCCATCCGACAATTGGAGGCGAGTGTACCCTTCCCCCCGCGCCTCGGCGCTCCACACGAATTCGCGGCCTTTGTTCAAGCAATTATTCAGAACCCTATGCTGAACGGTGAAACTATACGTCTCGACGGATCACTTAGAATGCAACCATAATATTCGGTCGCAAACTCTTTAAGTGGAGTGATTATAATGATCAAGGAGTAAATAATACTTAATTCATATTGTGGTTTTTGTATTTATTCATCGTTCAAAAAAATTTGATCGATGACTTTTTAGAGATTCTAACGAACCTCACAATAAGTCTAGCCAACTACGGGGGCATATTTTAGTGCACATGTATCTGAAGATAGAAATCACTTTCCATTCCTTTGACTCTCATATTCTGGTGGGACGACAACTCGACACGATCGGAGGAAGGTAGACTTATGCACACAATGACTTTATAACGCATCGACGATGCGCGTTTTATATTATTATATTATTTATGCCTGTTAGACGTGTGCGAAACGAACGCAAGCAGTCAATTATTAAATTTATGAACACATAATGTGCGCAAACGACGACGAACGTCGTACATTTGATATGCGCGTCGTCGGCGGCTAAGGTGCAGGACCAGCAGCTCTCCGAGGCACGGACGGGGTTGCGACTTCCAATTTCGTTCGTACCTACTCAGAACTCATCTTGATAGAAAACCCAGTAACTACTTTGGTCCGATCCAGAATTCGAACCCAGCACCTCACGATTTGCGTAAGAATATACAACCTCATCTATTTACGTAGTCCAAAATATTTTTTTCCTTGTTTACTTCTCTATCCTACTCTAGTAACTTTTGGCGCTTTCTTTATTTAGCGAATAGCTACGGTATCGCCATCCTAAGATAATTTTCGATGAAATGCCTTTCGATGAACATTTTTTCTTACACAGACGGTTCTCCTTATCTCTACACTCCATGGCCTAGATATATGTACCTTGCACACCTGCTGCCATACATTGATGGAACTAGGTCTGAAACTTTATCAGGCGTGTGTTTCACTACATAAAGGAGAAAGGCTACGTTATAATTGAACACACAGAACTTTAATTTTTCATATATTTTTGATACACATATAATGAACACTCCTCGAGATTCGTGATCTAATACTCATGACAAAATTACCTGGCGATCGATTATAAGTGTTGAAGTGTGTACAATGTACATACGTTGCTCGATGTCTATGCTACCCTGGTATTCGGGACGATGTCTTTGAGCCAAGTGCAGGCAGCAAAAGAAACGGGTGTGCCACGAGTCGTGGGAGGGAGGTGTCGGCCACAACACTGACCGTTTTATATGTGGATAGCATATTCATCAAATTATTATGAACATCTTATTTTTTAATAGATTCGGTATATGTTAGGTGAATAACAAAAAAAAACAACCGTCTAAACGAAAATATTATTTATTTCTACAATAACGGTCGGCAGCGCGAGCTAGCGCCACCGGCGCGTAGGTGCGTCTCGCAATATTTATTAATCACAAAGAAAATAAATATACTGATGATTTACGAGTGATTTCTCTCACCGCCATATACATGTGTCTAAGTGGACTTCTAAAAATAGATCATTGCCGTGTTGCCAGTTAAAAACTTAATGACGTTCAAAATTAAACGGAAGTTAAACATAATTTAAGTTACAGCGACAACAATAACTATATTTTAAAATGTACAAAAGACAATATGTGAGGTAATGACACGGTACAACGTTAAGATATAACATTTGCTCCGGTATTAACTGAACTACCATTAAGTAAGTACTTCACTCAGTTCTTATTCTATGCACTTTAGCCTACTGTGCAGAAAAGAAGTTATAAAATTATAAGAAAAATTAGTTATTTACAAAAATCGAGTCATATGCGTCTCATACAAAGTGATGTTCGAAGTGATGAATAAACATCATCACTTGTGATGTGTTCGCTTCATCTGCGTTCAGTTAATAGAGGAGCAGATTAACACATTAACTTTTGAGGCTAACTTTATGTGGGATCCTTATGTATGTACTATAAATTTATAATAATTATAAGAGGTCACTGGACCGAGATGCGAGGGACGCGTTCCGATTTGCTTGCTGGCTGGCACTCTGAGAACGAGACTGTGTCTCGTCGCTGCCTTCTAACAGTGAAATATACATAGCCACTTTATATGTATTGTCGTATGAGACAGATTATTGAACAGCACATGCAACGTTGCTTTGATATTTACCAGCCCCATATCATTAGATTCAACAATAACCATTAAAGATGAATGTAAACTGTTTACCTCGCCCTATCTATATGTACAATTACTTAATAAAATACAACTAACACGGCTCGCGAAATAAAGTTAGGTGCAACAGAAATAATCGCTTAGGTACTTAACAATTACAACTAACAAGAACCCAATCAGGCTTAGGCCTGTCGATTCGCTCAAATTCACGTCCTCACATTAACTTAAACCAATAGAATACTATACACAGACTAAATAAACAACATCGACTGAGATTAAAGCTAACTTATCGTTAATGAACAACAAAGTGGTTAACTTACAAATTGTAACGCATTCGTACGTTCGTCTACGCTACGTCGTTGACGCTGCGTGCGTTGCGTGCACTGAGCGTGACTGTTAGGGTTATTTTGGAATGTGTGTGACGCAACAATCCCATCACCCATGGAGCCCAAGGGGCCCACGAGCACCACGGGGGCGGTCGGCCAGCTGCGCGGCTGCGGTGGCTTGGCGGCTGTGGCGGCTACGAATCTGAGCGAAGGAACAGTGGCCGACGGCTGCCGTCTGACGGAGAGCACTCGTATGTACCTTACCACTTCCAAATACTTAACGCTTTAATTCATAAATATACATGTATATTTATATTACTTAAATGACCGCTAAAGTACAACATATTCTGTATATTACAACCTAATCTTAAAATTAGACAGTAGTTTTAAAAGTTATAAGCATACATATAATAATGATTTTAATAAATAGTATTAATTGTGTTAATTTATCAAAAAAGCGCGTGACACAGAGTAGCGATCGGACAGGTGATCGAATATGAATGAACACTGGCACCTTTAAAGTTTGTTATTGTCTAATTATTTTAATAAATAAAATGGGAAAGTAAACGTAAAATCATTATTCACGTTGAACAGAAGTGTTGTATGCGATGGGTCTGGAGTGGACCGCGTCTACAAACCCTGTATAGAACACTTAACTAATGGCACACGACTTTTTTATCACACTGGTGTGTCAGATGAATACATTTCATTCAATATATATGCTTATTCATAAAAATATAACAATTGATTTTAAGGATTACTCGAAAAAAACTGGGTTCATGCTAATAATAACATATGCACAAAAAATATAAAACTGTCACATTATATTAATGGTGTATATTAAAAATGAATATAATAGTAAATCACATAATACATAACAGATTGCAATTTTCATATGTGAATAAATAAGAAAATAATACTATAATAATAATAATTTTAATTAAAAATGATTAACTACAAATATATAAATACTGCATGCAATGGTAACGTAAAATGGTAATGTGGGAAGTGTAAAATTAATATAAGGCATTTGTGTGAACACAATAAATACGGGGAGTAAACGTTATTTATACACAATAAAAGAACCACTCGCAGATTACTTATATTATTTCACTTTTAGTATAGGAGAAGCCAAATGTTAAAGCGGACATGGACAAGTTGAAGTTAGTTTAAAATTGGTCACAATCTCTGTCGTTCTGTACCTAAAGTACGGACAAGTAAAACCCACACAGCCTAAATGTACCTAACTATGTCATACCATCACAGATCAGCTTTGCATTCGATAAAGCGTCTAAAGCTCGTGAAGCTGCGTGCGTTGTCTGTCCGTCGGAAACCTATTCGGAGATTACGTTCACGTCCATTGCTACGTACGGTTTATATAAAACTATCTCCGAATCACGATTCGTGGTCGAATTTCTACTATCTAACTTACATTTACAAAAATCGCAGCTTCACATAATGTACAAGTTACGTTACACCTTAACTATCAAGACGCACACGCGGGGTTTCTAAATGATTCTACTCCAGCCAACGAATGGGAGACGACATTCACGATCAAATCGATAATTAATTTGCAAAATCAATGCATATGACGAAAAAGCATATACGTACTTAAAAACTGTGCTGATGTGTTAAAATATTAGTAATAAAACATTGATACCATGACCACAACGTTTCAAGGAACTTTATTAGAGTCTGATCGTATTAATATATACGTTAAGCTATACACCAGGTACTAATTTTCATTCTATTGTCAGACCGTATTTGCAATCAATCAGGTCGCCTTCGCACTACGCGACCGGTCCGCACTGAATGATACAATCAGAATCAACGCATACAAATGTAATCGCGACGTTAACATTAGTTATCACTGGACGGTATTAAATATAAATGATGGTGCCAAATTTATCTATTTTACGAACACACGACTAACGTTTCCCATACTCTTCTACTGTGTACTTACTCGTTGCTGCGGCCAACTATAGATTCGCACTTGGTGCAGTGATACTATAATAATTAAAATTTATAATGAAGTAATAATATATAAACATTAGCTTTACAACACAAACCGTCAATCACATGTTCGATTAACTAAAACCGTACCTCAGTACCCAAACGAACGCGCGCCCGTTAGCTCTCCTACCCTACAACTGGCGCCTTTATATTATAAAAATAAAACGTTCTCAAATCAAATTTGCAACGCATATGTACGCAGGTATCACACAACGATAACACTATATTATAATATTATTTTAATACAATATGTATAACCATTTCCACATTAAAAGTTGATCAATATAATTGAATACGTACACTACTATATTTATATTAGAAAAATACGAAATAATGTACTTTCAGTTAACATATTATATATGTTAATAAAGAATATGATTTATAAAAATACATCGTCCATTCCGGCCATAAACCTGTAGACGCTAGTACCCATATTTTTTTAAAAATCTATGATTTTTAAGGCTTCTTGCACGTATTTGAGAAATATTTTACATAATTACAATATAAGTAGCATAAATCACTGTTACTTTCTATTTGTCATATTTACAGATTTAATTAATAATAATAATTATTTGTACTGGTACGGCCGATAAAATCAATAGAGACAATTTTAATAACATTTAGATAAACATCTCAATGAAACAACTGTAAATTTTAACTCGACTTTCGTCGTAATCGAACCTTACGTTATAGTGATATACATAGAGAATTTAATTTTCAAATGACAACTTCAATAAATTCTTAAAATAGCCGAGCCCAGGAGCGCAGTCGGCGAGTCCCGGGCCCGCGCGGCGCGTGCACTCGACACGCGTACAACTAACAGTAAGTAAAGAGAACGGAGGGCGCGCCCCGCTCGCGAGCCAGCGCGACGCGCCCTTGCTTACAAACAACAATGCGAATTAATTTAATCTTTACATATAACATGATCATCTCCTCTTATAATAAGCGGGTCATCAAATTTCTTCTTTAAAATCACAGACGCTTTTCTAAAATATGTATTGTAATATTTTCCATCACTACACGCATCAGAGTGAAGACGAGCTAGTTTATCTAACATAGGTATAGGTACTTATTTAAGTTTCGATTATCCGTACACCGTAAATAGACTGCTCAATAAATTAATGGTAGCTACACGAGAGATGTTAGCTGTATGTTACAGAGATTATGCAGATAAACGAACGTCTTATCTGTACTGGGACTAGGCGCTCGGCGCACGACGTCCGGCGCAAAATAACTTATTACGTTTAATCACACACCAAATTAAAATCTAAGCTTAAACTATAGTATTTCATGTTAATCAATATGGTGTCGGGGCGCTGGGCGCTACTACGATATTCCAATCCTTCTTCACTCACGTTTCAGGATCTGAAAGTAAGCAAACAACTTACTGTTAGTCTCCTGACACTTGAATATTGTGCGTGCGATCAACTCTCCTCACCACAGTATATCCTATATATCGGATAGTTATAACCAATTCTGTTATTAATGAAATATTACAAAAACCACCACCACTGCTAGTCTCCATACAACAACACCAATTTTTTATGTTAGTGACTGTGTGCGAGTAACATTCTTTTTTATATTCAGGAACAAAGACAAAATGAAGAACGACATGAAATCGTGAAATAAGCGACGAATATGGGATAACATTACGAGTATTACAAGGAAAGTAACTATTTGCTTACTACTGTGGAGGTATTTTATATATAAGAATTATATATTTTACATAAACAAAACTATGCTTACAATTAAGTATACAAAATACCAATTAATATATAAGATGAATGTAAATTTAAAGTTATGATTTAATATGAATCTACACAATTATAATAAAATATACTTAGGTTAATGCTTTTTTACACAAAACTGTTGTGAAATAACTTTTTTATTTTGTCTTTAGATTAATTTAAACCTAAAAGCTATAATTACTATTTTATTGAGTGCAGAACTAAACGATTAAGCCGCAGAGACGCCTGTAAATTATAACTATACGTTACGTGCCATATTATTCGTTACAACTGTGCTTAATTTGCCAGTGAATGTGCCAAGAGTCAATTAATTACATTACGATGTGCATCGAAGTAGTGCGAGAATGGACTTAAATCTCAAACATTGAATGCTTACTCTATATGGGCGAATGCGGCTCAATCGTGTCGTTCGGCAGGAAACCGCACCTGACACACAAAGAGCAAATATCTTCAATTTTTTAACTAAATCGATAAAAAAATGATAAAATCCATCCAAAGCAAATAACCTAAATCTCTAAAAAATGTAAATAAAAAAAAAGAAAGAACAACTTGCACTTTCATAAAAAAAGCCAATATAAAAAGAAAAAATCATAGCACATTTCTCCACACCATAAAACTTAAATATTACTAAATTTTATATAAATATAAACCAAAAATCCATTAAAATAATAATATAAAAAATATATTTATATTATTATTTTCTTGATAACGTGAAATTTTTCACTTCAATATGGTGGTTAACTGGTTAAGTTCAGTATATTTACGAATACGAATTTTCTAGAACAATAACAGTGTTATCGCCTAAAATTGGAGCAAGTTAATATCAAATGACGTGAGCGTTTTTACAATAATCACTGAAAAACTTTATGACAACATAGTATTTAATATTTATCATTTTTATGTAGCTTGCATGCACCTACTGATTGAGTACTTAACTCGAGCCCTTTCTATATGACTAACATTGCCCGTGGCTCCGCCCGCGTTCAGATGACCAAAAACCAAATTCTTAGGTTTTACATTTTAGTATATCCTTACATTGCAGTTTTTGTAAATTTTTTTCTCATAAATGAGACATTTTCCCGCGGTAAAAAGCATCCTATTATGTTGACGCGGATAACCAGCTATGGGAATGCCACCCGCTTAGGGCGGCGGGTGGTACCGGAGAAATCCGGCGCGGACCAAATGGCTTGGATGGGGCCGCTCGTCTAGGCCTCGAGCCGAAGACGTTGCGGCCACCGGTGGTGGGACCGCTTGGTCCCACAACCGGATGATGGGTGCCGATTGCGGGACTGTGGTCGCAGGCCCGCATTCGGCGGAGGGGTAGGCCGCGGCGGGAGAGGAGTGCCGGTATTTCGGTGCGCCGTTCTCCCTACCTTCCGCGGCCTAGACGGGGCCGTCACCGTTAGATGGCGGACGCGGTGGGGCTGCAGGGGAAGAGGAGTGTCGGTGTTTCGTTGCCGCTCTCCCTGTCCTCTGCAGCCGATTGGAGGTGGCCCACATCGTTGGGCGGTAGTTAGGTTTAATGGGGCTGCTCCGGGTACCTCTCTGGCGTAGCAGAGTTGACTGTGGAGCAGCCCCATTGGTTTGGTGGTCTGCCTATTTAGGCAGACCTGCCGCCGGGGCGCCGTAGTAGTTATGCGCAAGCGATCCTGCGGCGTCCCATTAAGGCGGAGGGGAGGGGAAATTAAAAAAAAAAAAATAACCAGCTATCACCATACCAGATTTCATCAACATCCCTCCAGTGGTTTTTCTGTGATGCGGTAACAGACAGACAGACAAAAATTGTAAAAACTAGACACTCCGCCTCTGTATCGATAATAATGTCTATTTCAACAAGATTTTCAAAAAAATATTTAATGTACAGATTCGGCTTATTTACAATTTTATTATATGTATAGAAAAGGAGTAAAATGTAAAATTTAAAAATCGTACAAAACTGAAATTGCTTGTTGTATGAACTCAAAGGTCACAAAAACAATATCGCTATTTCCACAGATGACGATGACTTCATTTTACATTTTCAATACAATATTGCATTATTTATAGCAATTAAGTTTCGAAATTATAATTTTTAATCATTTATATTTATAAAACGTATTTAGGATGTTTACATTTATTTTTTTATTTTTAGTAATCAGAGGATAAAAATTAGTCATACCAGTTACTTCAGTGATTTATATAAAAATAAGCCTAAATTACATAGCACGTAGCTTTGTGGAATGCAACTTTATAAGCATTAACTTCATCAAAAATATAGATAGACTAATCAGATAGATATATGTATTAATTTCTCACTCAGTTAATTTTTTACAGCAAAACCATGGAGTGCAATTTGCTCTTTATAAAATTTGAAACAGAAGTATTTAGGGATAGTCTACTGAGGATACTTTTGACTACAAAAAGGCCTTACTTAAACTTTTACTTGTAAGAAAGATACTAAAATTGTTTTGCGATCTCATAGAAGATTATGGATCTTTTCTGAAAAATGACTGTTTGTTCCGGCTCATCTCCGAACTGGCTGGACTGATTTTGACGGAACTTTATTTAGCAGATAGCTGATATTACAAGGAATAATTTAGGCTATTTTTATTTTATAAAAAGAATTAGAGTTCCGCTCAAATTAAAACGTACAGAGGGACGCACCCGCGCGATGCGAGGATAAGTCGCTAGTCTATCTATATTTATCACCAAGCAATTAATATTAACAGGTCACCACCATAAGTAATTAAATTATATCACTGAAATATAACTAAAAGACAATTCGCAATCATTGTAAAGCCCTTATTTGACAAATCACAAAAAAGATTTGCAGGTTAAAGCAGTTTCCTTACATAAGAGTAAAACACCAAAATACGCTGAAACCTAGATATACATGTTGTGTGAGGAAGAAAAGGAATTGTAATTATATGTGAGATATATATACATGTTGTGTGAGGAAGAAAAGGAATTGTAATTATATGTGAGATATATATATCATTAGAAAGTTAAAATAACCCGTTACTTAGAATATTATGTAAGATATAGTTAAACAAAACTTATTATGAATAAAGCTTGTGATATAACACTTCCTAGAGATGCAATGGATATTATTTAGGCAATTTAAACTCAATGCGTGAAATAAAAAGCGAATAGCCAAAATTATACAGAATTTATATGTGAATCAATAGCTTTAGAATAATATTTAACTTGATAAAACAGTTCAATAAAAAAAGCATATTACTTTTATACAAGTTATAAATGTAAAACTTAAACCTGTTATGGCTGTTTGTATGTAGCTTAATAAAATTTGGAACTTATGTTTTTATTGTTAATGTTTGTTTGAGCTTTGCAGTACTTTAAAAACAGGTGAAGTCTACTTTTGATCAGACTCACAATAATATAGTCTTCATGGAAACTGCAGAGCTAGCATTCTATTTTGACTAACTTTATATTTAAATAACTTTAATTTTATATGTTTCTAACAAGCGCGTCCTTTGCATCTATAGTACTTATGCTTTTATGAAAAACTAACTACGAGAATAAAATAAAATGTAAATAGAATTGTCAGCTAGTTGAATGTTAAGTATTTTTTTTTTTTCAAAAATTCATAAGCTGATTCCAATAATAATAGACTGTACACAAATAAATTAGTACACTAATAAAATTTATGCATATTTGAATGACATCTAATACTTTTTTCCTAGTTGCATTTAAACAATTTAAATAAATAATAATAATTGAAAATGACTTATCATAACCACACACTGCCCAGCCCAATACTCAGGGCTTAAGAGCATATAATTTGAAGGAAACGTTAGAACCCTCATAAATAATGATTAAAGAAGCCACGTTATATAATAAGTTAATTATATAATTTAAATTAGATGACTATAATTACTTGATTGATGATTAATTTAAACAAAATAATGAAATACTGTTTAAATATTTTTTTATGCCAGCTGATTCGCTAATCGTAGAGTAAACGCTTTATTAGTTTTCAAAAATTGCTATAAAATATGCATTGCCGTAATTAGTTACCGTAATGAGAATAAATATACTTTTTGATTTTTTATTGGAATCAATTTTGTATGTAAGCAAAAAATCGCTGACAATTCGACTTATATGTATATATATATGTTAAATAAAATATTAAATGGAAATAATTAATACATTTATAATATTATATATAGAATAACGTACAATCTGTCTAGAGTCGAGGTGTGCTCCACACTCCGGTTAACCATTTCGGCGCCATTGGGCCTAGAACGAGACAGTGACTGCATTTTTTAACTATTACACAGCTGCACTCTATACACTTAATTATCATACAAACAAATACATTAGAAATGCTAAATAACGACAGATGTTTTATATTCAAATATAAAAAAATATATTAGCGAAAACAAGGAACGAGAGATACGTTTATAAATATTATAGTTCTAATAAATAAATGTACTTAATAACTGTGAGGCGCTGGCGACATAGATCAAAGAGTTACACAATGTACATATTGATACCATTCGGCTAACACCGTCTTAGTTAACTTTTGAAAGGCTTCCAAAAACGTAAATATTTCAATAATACTTATAAGGAATTAGAAAATATATATATTTTTAATAATGGTATTTGGATATAATCTAACATTTTATGTTTTCCGAAACCATTATACTATTGAAATATAGTTTTAAGTGCCTCCTGAAAATTGCATTAAGACTGAGTTAGGCGATTTGCGAATCAAAGTGTTATTTTATATGTAACTCACTTGCGTTTAGCGTGTAGCATTTCCATGAGAAGTGTTTGCGTCGGTGCTTGGCCCGCGCAGTGGCGCTGGTACAAGTGCTCCTCGCCGCGCGCCGCCAGGGTATGAATCTCTGGCACCACCATCACCAATTTGCCGAACTTATCCTGAAATAGAAAACAATTCTTTTTAATAATGACAATAATTTCACACACACACACACAAACACATAATTTATTGTAAATGTTTTGATTGTAAAATATATTTTTTTTGTATTATTGACTAGCGACACATCCTCGCTTCGCTCGGATTCGTCCCTAGTAGCTTCCCGGTAGCTTGATTCCCAATACAAATTTTCATCCCCATTTTCACCCCCTTAAGGGATGATTTCCGGGATAAAAAGTATCGCATATCCTTCCCATGGTCTCAAACTATCTTCTTAACAAATTTCATCTAAATCGGTTCAATAGATCCAGGATTACCGCCTACAATGTCACAAATTCTCAAACTTTACCTCTTTATGTTGGATGTACTGGGTATTGCTGCCAGGGTATGAAATTATCAAGATAAATATATCTTTTGATAAATATCTCGATAATTATCAAGATAGTTATCCGATAATTATCAAACAGATATAAACTTAGCACTCCTTGTGTAGGTTATTGGTATTTGACTACTTGCCTATCATAACTTACGTTAATAAATTATACACTTTTAACAATCAAGGTAATCTTTTAATATTATTAAAAAAAAACAGAATAAATTTAACCAACTATATAGACACTATTTAAATTAAATTAAAGGTCTCTGCACACTACACCATCTCATACCATGACCGTGTCATGCAAAAAAAATACTTTGTATTAAAAAGTATGAGACTATGCCCACTAGACCGTTCCATCACCGACCAAGGCCGTTCCGTCACCGACCAACGCCGTCGCGTGCCGTGCACGGAAATTAAACAATAATTGTCGGCAATAATATTTTGCCGACATATTAATATATAATATTTTGGCGAAACAGTGAGCATACGGGTTATAACAGCGTATGATGACCATTCTAAGCCCGTTATAAAAGTGTGGCCGCTTGTCTTCTAGTGATAATATTTTCTTTTAAATTATATTTTTTCAAAACGGCGTGAACCTAGTAACGTCGTGATCGACTGATGTTATTCTCTTTCTTCCTCGTCTAAAACAATGAATATCATTGTTAATTCTGTGTCGCTTGTTTCCATTATCGATACGTTCATAGCACGGTCATGCATGGTATGAGACGGTGTAGTGGGCAGACTTCTTAATGAGTGGAATATCATCCTCATCCTCCTCAACTGCATTAACTCAGTTTGCTGATTGAGTTTTTTGAGCTGGTTGAGAGAGTTCAGTTAGCTGATCGACAATTTGAAGAGTTACAAATTAAGTATTTTTAATTATATTTATCAAAGATAATTATCAACCCATATTTATCATCAATCAATGATAATTATCGTTTCGAACCCTTATTGCTGACCAGGTACGCGAGTTTACACCCCTTTTGTAATTATTTGTTACGCACATTATTTAAGTCAATAAACATTTTTTTTTCTACACAACACTACAGCAACTAATGGCCTCAATTAGAACTCTATGAATGTATATTGTGTTCGTTAATAAAGTGGACGACACAGACACATCTATTAGTGAGCCAAATATATTGATTCGCACAGTACTAAGTCTCTAACATGTATTCTAAATATTGAGTCCCACAATTGCCTCAATCAATGTGAATATTTTATATATAAATGAAAGGAATAGTTTTATTACAGTTCTTGTCCCTTGAATAAATAAAGAGAATTGGAATTAAGAACTCATTGTAGAAAAATGTTCAGATACAGATATTTTGATTTAATTTTAAATGCAAGGCATATACTCGTATATATCTTGAAATATTGAAATGAGCTTATTGTTAATTTCTTGATTATTCTCAGTTTCTTGATTAAAGTAATGTTTACTTGCAATGTAATTTAAAAATAAAATAATTTAAACATATCAGGAGACATGTCGGAAGAGTCAGCACATTATAAACTACTAGTGACTCACCCTCGCTTCACTCGGGTTCATCCCTAACTTGCTTCCCCATACAAACTTTTCCGGCATAAAAAGTATCCTATGTCCTTCCCAGGGTCTCAAACTATCTTCTGATTAAATTTCATCTAATTCGGTTCAGTAGATCCAGAGATTACCCCCTACAACGTCACAACTCACTAACTTTACCTCTTTATAATATTATACCAGTATAGATAAGTTACCTGTATATTTGGATAGCAGGTAAGCGTGTAGTCGAGCAGAGCAGCTTGCACAGTCTGGTAACCATCTCGGACGCACTTTACGTTAACGATGCCTCTTACCTCTGAAACCCCAAGACAACTCTTCAAATAAAAACAACACAGTTTGTAAAATGTCAACACAGTGACCGAAGTGAGGTAAGTGAAAAGAATTATATGATATATAAGGCATAAATCAAACAAAATTTACAAATAAATACATCAGCATGTCATTCGCGTAATTGCATCAGGAGATATGATATCTATAAGAACAATAAATAATACTGACCAGGGTTAAGTAAAAGCAAAAATTTGACGCAGATGTAGTCCGGAACGTCGAACTTGAGTTCCGCAAGTTTGTTCTGTAGCTCGTTGAAGTGCTCAGCGAGAGAGGGTACTCCGAGGAGGCCCAGACAGAGCAAGTCGAACTTTTGCCCGTTGTGGAGAGTAGTTTCGTCTGGTAGGCCGTTATGCATCCTCTGATGCAGGTGGTCCAGCACAAGCATGTCCGACCACGAGTGTTGCAACAGTTTCATCTGGTCATCAACCTGCAACAAACGATAAACGCATTGCTTTACGTGTCTAGTGCGTACGTAACACGTTTCTACCAATATGAAGCCATCGAGTACGAGAGATTTATTGAGAACACCAGCAAGAATATAAAAAACACAATTCGCTTGCCAGAATAAAGTAAGCTTTGTATTGATTAAGATACATATTATATATTGAGTAACATCATTAGTTTATAAATAAAACCTCGTTACTCGATCTCTAATACCAGCTCCTATTGGAAGTAGTAAGGGCAACGTAACATGTGACGTGTAGAGTCTCGTGTGAAGCAATTACCGCGTCCTGCCATTAATCGCCTTAATGATACATACTTTGTAGTGTTTTATGTTATACATACTAGTATTATTCATCTTTATCGGTGGTTATACGCGCTCGTGCCAAATACATTAGCAATTTCTGTATGTTATCTTGGACCGTACTACTATCTGGAAAGTCGCAAGCTACTCGCAGCGTCATTCCGTGACCCACATTCGAAGTTGCATTAGAATACACGGGGCGGAGCGCGAGCGCGTAAAATTTGCCGTTTACGAAATGTTATAACTGAATTTTAGAACCCGAAGCTATTGCCACATCGCACGCCGCTTGCTCAACGATGAATCGAGATTGGACTGTCAAAATTTTATACTTAATCTACCAATTAGAGCCATTCGTTAGGTTATAATATTTCACATGTCTTATATTTGTACGATCGTCTCATTTGAAGTTTAATTTTAATTATAAATACATATTTAAATTATTTACTATTTAATATATAAACTAAACAGCAATAACCATTAACCAATGATGCGGGTATAATGAAAAACAAATCGTTGGAACAGTAATTATTCCCTTGGCGCGATACTACTCGCCACACGTATCATACTCGTATGTAGGTCAAAGTCGCGTCGGCTAGCCGCGTGCCAGATAGGCACTGGTATCTCGTCCAATCTATATTAAAATCTTAAAACTTGATAACAATAAATTTCTACAATTGTTTTACAGTTAACTGATATCAGGACACTTATAAATAAGAAAGATCTCTGCGAATATTTAAAATATTATTATAAAATGATATTAAAATTTTTGGCGTGTTATTTAATTAGTATCTAATAAGAATTGTTTTATTTAAAAACTTATGTTGGCCAGAACATCATATGTTTTATAATTTACTTTCGGTACAGAAATGGAGTTTTAAAAACACACGGCAAGAAAATCGATTTGAAACAAGCCTAAGCTTGTTATATATAAAAAAAACTAAAAATGTTAAACCCTAATTGCGTTATACTTCCAAAAAAAAAATACTAAAGCTCACATCCTGTCATAATTATTATGATAATGGAATACTTTATTTGAATTGCTTTAGGTTCACGAAATAATATTATAAAATCGGATATTTGGGCCAACATAGTATAGAAACAAGTACAAGTTTACCGCACCATGCAATAATGATCGTAACCAGTAAAAAATTATGTAAGAGAAAGCAACGCACTACTAGTTGCGTCTCCGTTACCGGTAGTTACGCGGGCGGTAAAAAGTGCTTTCTCGCGGCAACTCGGCCACGGGCAATGTGTCAAGTGCGACAACGAAAGTGCAGCGTTGCCGTCCCGCACGCCGTACCGTTACATCATATCCGTCTGGAGAAAGCGCAGGTCATCAACATTGCTCTCGCGTCTACCCTATTATTTTATACACCGTAGTACATGGTTTAGCCGGGCCGGGTTTTTGACAACGAGATGGCCGGCCTATCCTGTTCGGTACTTGACATTTAGGATATAATAACGATAAAAAAAACGATTTCCGTAAACAGATTGAGTGAATACTGCTAGCGAGATTCATGCACGTTCGTTCGTCCTAATTCTGAGAATGGGTCGTAAACAAGCCGCGTCATTTAGAACAAATGAAAATTGCTAGTTGTAGAATGGAGGCTGTCTGCTGGAGTGAGACGAGGCGAGGTGCACGGCACGGCAACGTCGCGCGTCCACGTGACCGGCTGCGACTCTTGCGTAAGCGTACGGCAACCACGATACGGAGACTGTTGCCTCCGCAGTACCGTGCTCCTCGATTGATTCCTGTTGATTGATAGAACTTACGCTACACCTATAGAATATATAGGCCTTTCCACTACAAAACGTGAATTATAAACGAAGTTTTTTTTAATGTTATAATATTTATAAACGTTTGATGCGAAACGATTAATCTAGTATCAAATTCTCATTAGAAGAATGGAAATGTAAAAGTTTGTTGAATCGGAACAAATTTTCAGATTACGCAATCATGTAATGTACGTAGGCACGTCGCACGTTTCGGTTAGTTTAAATATATATATATTGAAGTATAAGTACAATCATAAAAAAAACGATGGCAACGGCAGGCAGCACGCTAGTCGTGGGAACTTGACCCAGTTGGTGGTGAGCGGGGGCGCGGGTGGAGTGGGGTATCGATTGCGACCAGCACCGCACCGCTCAATGCGTCACACGCGTCTCTACACACTAATCACATGAAAAATAATAGGGTTTCGTTAAGAATTCGCATTGCTCACAGATTACTCTCCCCTCGCATAGGGAGTGCATATCGCAAAGCAGCATGATGACAAATTCGCAAGCCAATGGGTGTACACCGAGGACCGGGGTTCAGGGATTAGGGACGGGATACTTATACTTATCTGGAAATTCACCTTTAGATACTTAAAGAACACGGTGTTTCTCGCCCAGTCCACTTGAGAGAATAAGTTTTGGTCCAGCACTTTGCACATTAATTCGAAGAGATCCACTTCACACTGGTTGTAAGTTTGGCTCTGCAAGAGTCCAAATAGTGAATTTTGCCACTCTCGATCATCGATAGTTTGAACGAATTCACGAATCATAGGAGAGACCCGTAGAGTTTCCGTACTGGTAGGTTCTGCTGTACTGGAGGGCGTGGCGGCAGTGGTGGCGGGCGCTTCGAAGGTGAACGCGTCCGGGGAGGCCGAGTGCGGCGAGTGCGTGTCCCATTTGTCGTGCGTCGCGGGCGGTGGCGGCTGCGGCGCCTGCGGCTGGGCCGCCAGTAGCGCGGGACCCGGCGACGACTCCGGTGACGACGTCAGCGACGACACTTGTGGAATTTGAATCTCCTGCTTCACAGGCACTGACGCGTACGGTGAGCTGAACCCGAGCACTAGTCCGCCGTCGCCCAGCGAGCCACGCAACGTTTGCACGGCAATCTGTCTTTGCCTCATCATTTGTAATTTACGAGCGCGGTCGCGCTTGTACATAGGGCCGAACTTATTCCGACCACCTCGCATGCGATCTGCTCGTACAGCTGAAAACAAAAAACATTTTTTGAAAATGTGTTCGGTTCATTAAATCTATACATATAATAAAATTGTAACTAAGTCGAATCTGCACATTAAATAATTTTTTGCAAAATCTTATTGAAATAAACATTATTATCGAAACAGAGGCCGAACCTATAGTTTTTTGAATTTTTGTCTGTCTGTTACCGCATCACAGAAAAACCACTGGAGGGATTTTGATGAATTTGGTATGTTGGTAGCTGGTTATCTGGGTCAACATGTAGGATACTTTTTACCGCGGAAAAATGTCTCATTCCTGAGAAAAAATACAAAAGCTGCAATGTAAGAGTACAGTAACATGTTTGGTTTTTGGTCATCTGAACGCGGGCATAGCTGCGGGCAATGCTAATATCTAATATAATTTTAGGCTGACAACAAATTATTAAAAGTTTTTTTGTAAACTTAAAGTAAACTAATTTGTAAAATTTAAAGTTTTCAAATACATATAAACTTTTTTCAAGACGTAAAGACATAAAATACCATTTACAAGTCTTATATAAGAATTAAGAACTAATAAAACTAAATAATTCATGGGAATATTCAAACAATATTTCATGACATATTCGAACGGTTTCGTATCACTAAAAGGTCACGTAATCGCTGCCGTCATAGATGTCACATCTTAACTATTCATGGAACTCAAGCGGGACTGATACAATTGTCTACATACTAAATAAAGTGTTATTTATAATAAAGCACATCAATCTATACCTATTTATAATTTGTCTTTTTTGGTATTTAAATGCTTAGGAAATTTAACAGATTCTTTTTTAAGTAACGTTAGGACGAGTGGAAGTATAAATTACTTTATATTTTTTATTTATCATGTGATGCAAGTCACAAAATTTGTGTAAACATCCCGAATCTCGTATCGTCTGGATGGGAAGCCTTATCAGTTTTTAAAAGATAATGTGTCGATGCTCACCCACCGCTAAGTGAGTGAACATAGATTACCGCCATAGATAAGTATTAAATATGTTATTCAATATTAATAATTTAGGCTTGAAATTTAGGACGCTGGCCTTATAACGCACACAAGCGCAAACGCTCTTTATGATATTGGCTGAATTCCAAATTTCCAGCAAACGCTCTTTGCGATAACTACAATTTATGTTCGGTTGATTTTCTCTAAGAGTATCAAAATATGATAGAGTACTCTATCAAAAATGTTGCAAGTGAAAAAGTATATTCATAGAGGCCATCCATTTAAATGCGTATTTTTTTTTGTTTCTTATGCATACATTTTGTAATTTCCGTTTCTTACTTGAATAAGAAACTAAATTCTTATACGAGTATACACGGACATTCAGTGAAGTTCATTATAATATTATTCCTGTAGTGGCAGGCAAGGCGCAAATTAGTCTTACTAAGAAGTATATTGTGAACTGTAAATAAATATATGAACCAGGCACGGAAGGGGGCTTTCAGTAAATTGTCGACTCGCCCAACCCACGAGTTAAAAATAACAACCAGTTTTTATTGTAGCCAGCGCACCTCGGTGCGATAAGGACGCAGTTATAGGGCACCGAGAAGGATCCAAAAGAGACGCGTAGTAAGCGTAGCGGATTTAAGTGGTGCTGTGTGCAATTCATTCCACCAGTTTCGTATTGCAAACCGATTCATGAAACAATTTATGTTCTTATAAGCCACAAATTGACGGAGAGGTATAATCAAATTAAAGATTATGGATTTATATTATACAGATTTAAGATATATGGATTTACATGTAATTTTATTAATAAAATTACAAAATTACTTTAAAATATTATATAAAAATATTTAAACTTATCAGTATTCAGTGTTGTAACCACACCATTTTGTTTTTTTTCAAAAAATAAAATGTTCTTCTTCATTCTTTATCTTATGGAAATAATATTCTTCACTTCTTTATGTCATTTATATGCAATGAAGTTAAGGAAAAACTATTTAGAAGATATTAAAATACCTACCGATGTAATTAATATTTTACCTGTAATTTTTATTTGAGACTATTAAAGATCCATCGAGAGATATTTATAGATATTGAAATTATTTTAATTACTTATTATTGTTCTCATTTTTTTATATTTTTTGGAATGAGATGATAAGTTTTTTAACTATCCCACGGAAACTATTTAATTTTCCGGGATAAAAGTATCTAAGATGTTGCCCGGAGATATAAGGTACCACCATGCAAAATTTCATTTAAATCGGTCGAATAGATTCGGAGATTAGCCCGTACAAACAGACAGAGAAACAAAATAATTGAAAAAAATCTGGATTTGTTCTATTTGTCTTCTTACATCCCTCTGACTCGGTTTTTAGCATTATTTTGCTATGTACAGACATTCGACCTCTACTGTTTTATTATAGTACAGGCTTGACCCGGATAACCAGCTATCACCATACTAAATTTCATCAAAATCCTTCAAGTAGTTTTCCTGTGATGCGGTAATAGACAGACACACAGACAGACAGACAGAAATTCTAAAAACTATAGATTCGGCCTCTGTATCGATGATAATGTTTATTTCAATACGATTTTCCAAAAAAATTTCTAATGTACAGATTCGGCTTAGTTACAATTTTATTATAATATAGATTTGCGAATTTGTATTTCATTATGCATATTTGTTTACTATATCCATAAAACAAGGTATGAAATTATCAAGATAAATATATCTTTTGATAATTATCGCGATAATTATCACATAATTATCCGATAATTATCAAACAGATAAAAACTTAGCAATCCTTGTGTAGGTATTGGTATTTGACTACTTGCCTATCATAATTTACGTTAGAATAAATTATACTCTTTTAACAATCAAGGTAATCTTTTATTATTATTATTTTCATTATTTTGACATATACAAACTATGAAATAAAACCAGAATAAATTTAACCAACTATATAGACACTATTTAATTAAATTAAAGATCTCTGCCCACTATACCGTCTCATACCATGACCGTGCTAGGACCGTGTCAGGCAAAAAAAATATTCTTTGTATTGAAAAGTATGAGACTATGCCCACTAGATCGTTCCATCACCGACCAAGACCTTTTCGTCACCAACCAACACTATCGCGTGTCGTGCATAGAAAGCTAACTGTAATTGTCGGCAAGAATATTTTGCCGGTGCTGCTACGCTCCGTGCCTGGCACGCGACGTTGCCGAACCGGTGCTCGCGGACGACGAAACAGCGAGCACACGGGTTATAACTGCGTATGATGACCGTTCGAAGCCCGTTATAAACGTGTTGTCGCTTGTCTTCTAGTGATAATATTTTCTTTCAAATTATATTTAGGTCGTGATCAACTGATGTTATTCTTTTTTTTTCGCGTCTAAAACAAAAGCTATCATTGTTAATTTTCTGTGGGACAAGTTTCTCTAATAGGCAACGTATAGGAAATAATTTTCGTAACAATAATATTCACTCGCTCTTCCTGACGCGGCTGCCTCACGCGAAAACACAAGTGAACTACTACGAATGAGAAAACGGGAACTATACGGTTATGACACGCGGGTGATACGCGGTTCATACGCGAATGATACGTTCATATTACGTGGGCATAGTAGTCCGAGTCGCTTGTTTCCGTGCCTGATACATTCATATTACGGTCATGATATGAGACGGTGTAGTGGGCAGACTCCTTAATGAGTGGAATATTAGCCTCATCCTCCTCAACTGCATCAACTCAGTTTGCTGATTGAGTTTTTTGATATGATTGAGAGAGTTCAGTTAGCTGATCGACAATTTGAAGAGTTACAAATTAAGTATTTTTAATTATATTTATCAAAGATAATTATCAACCCATATTTATCATGATAATTATCAATGATAAATATCGTTTCGAACCCTGATAAAAAGTAAAAACATATACAAGCGTCATAATATTTTAAATAATGTAATAACTGATAATTATCTCGATAATTATCAAAAGATATATTTATAAGTATATTGATCGAACTGCAAAACGTAATCATGAGGAACTATTATTAAGATTGGAATTATTAAGAATAGTGCATTGATATGTTAAATTTTTTGGGCTTAGCGTGCATTTGTCAGAGAACGCAATTTTATTTTTTAGATATCAAGGAGGGGTTTAGTGTTAAGTTAAATCCAAGTTTGTGGGGTTGCGGTCCTTGTTTCACGGCCGCCATCTTGGAAAAAGGGGGAACAAATGGTTTTTATGGTTTATCTGACAAACTATAGATATCAAAAAAAAATTGTTAAACCATTATTGGTTGAAAATAAAATTCTCTACAACTTTGGTTAAGTACCTATTCTTGTGAGACCAATTTAAGAGTAATTTTTTTTTGGAAAATCTTATTACAATTAATCATTATTATTATAATAAATTAATTAATCATTATTATGGATACAAAGCCCGAATCTATAGTTTTTAGACTTTTTGTGTGTCTGCCTGGGAATGCATCACGAAAAAACCACTGGACAGATTTTGATGACATTTAGTATGATGATAGCTGGTTATCCGGGTCAACATATAGGATACTTTTTACTGTGGAAAAATATTTTATCTCTGAGAAATGTATAGGTACTAAGTAAACGTTAAAACTTAAACGTAACGACGGGCTAACCTGAACGGAGCGAGGGTGAGTTGCTAGTACATTTTGGAATCAGACGATAAGTTTCAAATCTATATACAGATAAATAAAATTGAATTATTTGTTTGTAATGTCAAAATAACAGCTTTTTACTAAATACATATGAAAGTATATACTTACAATAAAAAAAAAAAAATTTGTCTGTTTGTTCCAGCTAATCTCCAAATCGGCTGGATCGATTTTGAGTAACTTAGGCTACTTTTACTTAAGAAAAGGATTGAAGGTTTCACGGAAAAAAAATTAAAACCCATGAATTGCGAACAAAATCCGCATAGTTAGGGACGCACCCGAGCAAAGCGAGGGTAATTAGTAGTTAGCTAATAAGTTAGCTTACAATAATGTTAGAACTTTTAGTT